ACCTGACAAACGATCGATTATTATTACATTGGTGTACGCGATGGACACGCGTAAATAAGTAGGCGCGCGCAATTAGTAATTTTAACGATATTTATTGGATTTCGAACATAACAATCGGGTTGGTCACCACCAAGTCCCGGTGGCTGCGCCGCGAGACGAGAGTTCAATCGTTGGGACAAAACGATTTAATTCAACGTATTTTATGCGCGTACGAGTAAAAAAATTAAACGGCATATTAAATCGACAACAATAGAGTTAACTGTGACAAAATATCAAGACAACAACACGCATTATCAACAATAATTAGCAGCGGCAATTTCGTACAAAACGAATTCGGATCGTAAATTTCCCAAATGAGTTCCCGTCCGGTTCGCGGACCCGGACGGACGAGAAAAATAATAAAAAGAAACAAATAATAACTGCAGGTCCACGCATACCGTTTTTATTGAGAGACGTTACTTTTAATCCGGTGTCCCGAAAGCCGCCGGACGAATCCGTCCGCGTCCATCTGGTCAACGTGAACGAATCGACGACGGTGTTGTTGCAAAACGACACGGCACCGCTGCCCGGATCGACTCTTTTGAGCGTCCGCGGTGGCGTCTAAACGGGGAGGAAAATAAAAAAAAAAAATAAATAATAATTGTACGTTTCATCGGTTTGATACGAGACATTTAAACGAACAAATTACGCGTATAAACTCAAATTTAAAATTACGCTTGAATAGCAAATTGCCACTAGTACGAACAAAACAACACTGGTCACGGTCACCTAACCGTTACCCCGCTATTACTGCACTTACGCCGAAACGCAAATTATATTTATCTTTGTAGATTTACCGCATTTCAAATACTTTATCGAGTATAATGGGATTTATGAACGATTAATGTGAAAATAAAACATTATGGACGTCAGATAATGTCTTATGTATTTATGATTGCTGAAATGTAATGGAAACGTTTTTCCAATTTTTTCGTATATTTTCGTTCAAAATGTATTTTTATTGCGGGCCGTATGTTTGACGAGTCCGCCGATTTAAAGGTTATATATTATGCTATACGCATTTTACTTATACTGGTTATACTTATATTTATGTATTTATTTTTACAGCTGGCGATTTTATAACCTCAACGGGCCATGAACATAAATATTGGACAAAATATAGCAATTGTTCGTCCTACAGAATATTTGTAATGAAATAATAGAAGACAATCTCACTCAATAGTGTACGACTGTTAATAACATTGGCGTTGTTAGACACTCAACAAAGTATTTTTTCCAGCAAATCAAATAATATTATTTTTTTTAGATGAAAATGTGACTCGGTTATTATATCCTCACCGTTGGGTAGTTGTAATTATTATAATGATAAACGTAAGTGTATTTTATTTAATTTGTTAGTTTAACGGCTTTATATTTATTATAGGTAATAATACTCAACAGTCTGACGCGTCTTTGAATCGGCCATCCAATGCCCGATGAGTGTTGCCCAATGGGTGTGCTGTAAATGAATTTAATTTGTGGTGCGTATAAAATAAATATAATATAAATTTGTATTATTTGCATATTTATAATTAAATCTGTTTTAGGTCAATCGTCCAATCCATCCAGCAGCACAATTATATTTAATTAAATCTATCGGTGAAATAAGAACAGTATTCTACAAACACTTAATACACTTAGTCACACTGCCAGTCATTTTCATTGTAGAAATGAACAAGGCCGTATAAATTATTTTGCTTTGGATTGTGAATTCCCTTTAACACATTTGACAGCACTACAAAATTTTGAAGAAAAACTGAATACATCCAAGGAGTATAACTTGGCAATGATAACATAGATTTTAAATTGCATGCATATATTTATAATGTTACTATTCTTGAAGTATTAAAGTATTTGAATCAATATAAAAATAATTTTTTTTTTTTAGAAAAAAAAATTGTATTTATTAGTTATTAATAATATTAAACAATTTGTTTTCGATATTATGAAATATTTATTAACTAACGGAGTTGCATACTTGATATAATTTGCTGGAAAAAAAATATATATCTTTTATCATTAAAATTACATAGGTTAATCCTTGGTAATTTTTTATTTTTACATACTTTTAAGTTTTAATGATGAAAAGTTATTTATTTGGGTGTTTAAAATGTTCAACTTTTAGATTGGTTTTTTTTTTTTATGTTATAGGTGTTTGTTTTGTTTTAAATAAACAGACTATGATTATACTATATTTTTAAATGTATCATCAATCTAATTTTAATTATGGACAGTAATCTAATAATAGTTTTTGCTTATTAATTTTTTCAGAAACTATTCTGAGTACTTTCAACATAGCTACATATAATGATATGGATTTAGCGATTCAGAGTTGGCTCAGGCATGTCTCAGAACACCTTAAACAAAATGCCAAATGATGATTTTTAAAATTGTTCTAGAAGAAAATGAAAAATATGAGATAAATAATAATTTTTTTCAATTATTATAGCTGTTTTTTTTTTTTTGCAATTGATTTATTTTTATTGAAAACCTCATATTCCGTTATAAAATACGTTTTGTGAATTATATTTTCAACTATACACGATTAATTTAAATTATATGCTATTCTGTGAATTTAATAATGGAAATACTTGGAACTCACTCGGGTTATTAACAGGATTCCTATGTATCGGAACCACCCAGTTTACCAAATGGATATCTATAGTACATAAATAGGATGCGATAGGGTTTAATAATTTTAATCCCGTGTAGGACATACTGAGTGTTTATAGGCAGACATGAGGATCATTGAAGGATGTCCTGGGATATATAGCGTATGGTTCTACTAAAATCCTAGAATATATACAGGATGATTGTAAAAATTCGATTTACAGGCCATAAACCTACCTCAAGTTGTCAGGGTAGTTGAGATCCCGCACTTTTACATTGGAAAACTATCAAGTTCTGGTGCTTAATTGCTCTAGGAATTCCATACCTCCCTTAAAGGTATGGTAAATTTGGAGGGGGGAAGTATATAAATACTAAAATTATGGTACTGAAGGGTATGATGTTCCTAGGTACGAAATTCCTGTTACAGGGACATTAATTATTTTCATATAAGTTACCATATTTCGTTGAACAATAAAATACATCAAAATAACCCATAAAAAAAGTGGATGGGGCACGCCTAATTACTTTACCATATTGACATATATTTTTGACAAAGGAACACTATCAACTGAACTCCGCTCAGAATCGTTTTTCGTTAGCAATGGTTTATCGCTTACAGATTTATATGCAACTTCCCCAACTTCACACTTACAAAAGTGGCCCATCTACGTGCGAAGTATGCTCTTCTTTTAATTATTTTAATTTCCAATTGATTACATTATCAAACTATGTTTTTTCCTCCTAATAATATGTATTTGAAATTTATCAATATTTAAAACTATATGGATTCCAATTAAAATGTTTTCCGTTCATTTAATTTCTCAACTGTATTTTTTCTACGTAATAAAATTCCAAATAATAAATATCATTACTGTTTCATTTCCAATTTTATTTGTTCAATAAAATATCTTTTTTGAAAAAAAATATAGAATTTCTGGTGTTCCACTGCAGCCCATATTTTTGTTAAAAATAACTATACAAATAAAACAAATTGTATGTATTGACTAATCCAGACACATACAACTGTATAGTTAGAATTATATATCTACAATCTATAAACTACGAAGTATAAACTTATAAAATTCAATTACTCTCGTTGTACACACTGATATTATAAAATAATACATAAATTATTTCATAATTACAAGATTTCTCCAACTCTTCAGAACTTATGTATAAATTAAATTCCAAATAAAATGTTGGTGCATCTTTATAGTATTGTATTATCGTATAATGATCTAACTATTTTTGAGTTACTTACAAGTTAAGACACTAAAATTTTGCAGTATTTTATGCAATTATATTCAGTAAGTACTCAGTGACAAAACAAAACTGTTTGAAAATTTAACAGGTTTATTATATTTTGTACAGGGCTGTAAAAAGTGATGAAATTGAAGAATTTGTTTAAAAAAGTGAATAAATAGTACATTATATTCTTTTGAAATTATTAAAATCATTTAAAATTATTTGTTTTTAATTTTTAATTTATCATCACATTTTATTTTAAATATCAAGTAACACCTAAAAATTAAACAATGACAGTGTTAATAACATTATAAAACTAAGTTCCTTGTGTACAACGTCCCATTTCTTCCAAGTTTTATTTTACACGATTGTCATTTAAAATAAATATTAATATACAGGCTAGTCCGTCACAGAAATTATCACTTAAAAAATTACTTTTAACAAAGTCAAACGATGTCATACATTAAAAATAAGCATTTGCCATTTTGTGACAATAATTAAAAATGTGGTAAATGGTATATTATTACATGTCAGGTATGTTAAATATTTAAAACTGATGAAAATTAAGACAGGAATTAGTTCATGAATGATAAAATTAAAATTCAAGCAATTTTTTTTTCTTTCAAGGAAAAGTAACAAAAAAAGATAAACATTTTAAATCTTTATAGTCTAACTAAAAAAGTGAATAACAGTGCCCAAGTGGCAGCTCTGTAATTGTACTAATAGACAATTTTTTTTACAAGAATTTGAATATAAACTGTACATTTTTTAAGTCCTTCAAAACATACAAAACTGAAATCTGCTCAGAATCGTTTTTTTTTATAAACAATCATTACAATTAAAAAAGTAATGGTTGCATATAGATATATCTTACAACAGTGGTCCAACTATTGTGCAAAGTATGCTAATCATTGTGTGTATAATATGTATTGCCATAAAAATGAATTTATGGGAAGAAACCAAATAATAGTTCATTTGAATATTCATTCAGTGTTGTGTAACTATATATAAATTATGAACAATAAGGATTTAAATGGACTAGTGAAAATCACTAATAGGTCAATAAAAACAAGTAAAGTGTGAGTAAAAATAATCAATTTATTAACTTATTTCTTCTTAGACACACCAACAGTTCTTCCTCTACGTCCAGTGGTTTTGGTATGTTGACCACGTACTCTCAAACTAAAATAAAAAATAAATAATTATATAATTTAATAAAATAACTTACAAATACCTTAAAATGTATATTACTCTGCATAAACATAAAACTGAAGACACTTATGATTCAATAACAATTAATGCACTAAAAACTCTACTTTAATTAATTTTCTATGTACCTATATTTATAATTCAGGATGGTAAGTTCACAATAAAACATAATTAAAAATGCAGTGATCGATAAACAAATGTATGGTAAATAGATATAATGAATAATTTGAAAAACATTAGTCTCTTACAAGAAAGTTAACCAAAAATAATTGAGAAATAAATGAAAAAGTTGCAATTAGTTATTGTTAGGAAGTCAATTAAAATGTTTTTTACATTATGTTAATTTAAATATTAATTCACATAGTTTATGGATTAGGACACATTAATATTTTTTCTTACTGACTATTTTTTGGTAAATCTTGATGAAACAATTGTACTTAGAGTTGAATATTTATATTATTTTACCTAACAGTTCCTAAACCTAGATGCTAAGTATTATACAGCAATATTTTTAACATCCAGTCTAATAATAACTTAAAAGTAATTTACTATGTATAATACTTAATGGGGTTATTATTTAAATTTGATGAAATGCATGAACCATAACAATGTGAGTGTTCTTATACAATAAATATTTATAACATAACAAATGGAAATTAAATAAAAAATAATATTTAGTGCTTTTTTATTTAACACAATAGCCCATTTTATTACATATTTCATCTAAGTTCTTTGAATTCCAATACCCAGTGGAACTTATAATTTGTTACCAAAGTATATAAAAGTTATTTTATAAAGAAGTAAAACACACAGACCTAAAAAAATTAATTATTGTCAATAATTGAAAATATAAATAAGTTAAAAATAACCAGTTAATTAAAATAAAAGGGTTCCGAATACTTAAAATATTACCTTTACAGAATAACTACTGAATAAGCAGAAGAAAATGTGCCTTACTTAAATATATATAAAAAATACTTATATAATAAAACTATTGAAGGTCGATTATCATTTAGTATTTTCTGAAGGGATGAATATTACCCTTATTTTTAATGCAAACATATTAACGATAATCTCATAATTTTATTTAAATAATCACAATTATTATTGATTAGAATTCAAAAGAAACTTTTTAGAAATTAAAAATAATTCAGTTTGCCCGTTTTAATTATTAACCCAATATACACAAACATACCCCCAGTAATGACGTAGACCTCGGTGAGCCTTAATTTTCTTTAACCTTTCCAAATCTTCACGCAATTTGCTGTCAAGAGAACTGGAAGTAAGCTAAAAAAAAAAAATATTCCTAAATTAATTATAAAACACTAATAATAGGGTAAAAATAATTAGTTTACTTGAGTAAATTTTCCATCTACTACATCCTTTTGTCTGTTCAAAAACCAGTCTGGAATTTTGTATTGACGAGGGTTTTGCATAATCGTGATGATTTTTTCAACCTAAAAACAGGAATGTTTAATAAATCAGTACATTAAAATGTTAATTTTATATTTCATTATAAATTATCTAATTGAATATCAAGAAAATAATTTTAAAGCAATAATCTAAGCAAGTACAACATATATAATTTTATAAATTCCATAAAATATTCTGAACTATTGATTGTGTTAAATGTTAAATTATCAATTAATATACTATGTAATTTGTTCACAAATTCATCAGGACACTAAATCAAATTACATTTTTTTAAATTTAATTTTCAACACCCATCTCAAATAATAGAAAATATGAATGAAATATTCGAACTTGATATTATTATTTTTAGGTATGAAAGAAAATTGTTTTTTTTTTTTGATCATCTATAACATTTTTAATTTTTGCTACACAGTAGAAAAATATTTATTTTTCTCATGTATCCCAATTCAGGGGCCTCTCTCTCTCTCTCTCTCTTTTTTCATTTTTAATTATTAATGCTTACCTAATAAACTCTTTGTAAGTTAAAAACGAGGATGAATAAGTAATGTAAAAAAAAAACATACACCATGAAAACATTTAATGAACAACTGATAAGTGATAACTCAGCTGATAACATAAAATATCATGTATGAAAAATGTAATTTTAAGGATTACCTGTTTACGTATTACCAAACTATGGGCTACTCATATTCAGACTATGAAATTCAAATTTATTTAAATAGCAAAGTATTGGTTCCATACCTCATAGCTAGGTAACACTTAACTAGTTTAGGTGACCAGTAACACACTGACTATACACATTTGTGTTTTTAATTATATAAAATTGACACATAAATTATTAACTACTTTATTAATTTATTTATTACTTTGTTAACACAATTGTAAGAACTAATTAATAGCACATTAACTCCTATTTCAAATGTGTTAATTAATTTTGCACAATTTAACCATTCAACTTTCTATAAATTAGTAAGTAAAACCTTCATTACTGTGCCAAAGATAATTTTGCATTCATAATACTCATAAATTGTCAAAGAACAAATCTAGTTTATGCAATTTGATTTTCAAAATATTTTATGTAATTATAATAAAGTCTACAATTGACAATAAATGATGTATTATTTGATATTTCACTATTTACAAGAATATATTACACATGACAAGTATACACTGCAATACATACAAAATCCACATTTAATAAACAAGATTTGAGAATTAATTAGAGTTTAAGTTTTAATGTAATTTTGTAATATTAATTACACAATAGACAGATATAAAGAGAAAAAATCAATGGTTCTGACAATGTATTTAAATAAATTTCAGCAAATTTTAATGAAGTAAAATGAGCTTAAATAGATTTATATGAAAGTTATTAATTTTGCATAATATACCAATTTCATTATATACATATATAATGAACCGTTGATTACGCTTATCAAGAAAAATTATATATTTATATTGTAGTGTTTCTTCCCCGATAGAATATCAAATTAATAGATCACATTTATATTATCCTAATGAAGATATTTTAGTATAGAATTCTTTAAATTTACTTAAAATTGAATAAATCTGTTATTTGTAAAATAAAAATGCATTCAGTTTTCAATAAGACTAGGTAGATATAACTAGAATATGACTAGATACTTTATTAATAGTTATACACTGTGAACACAGAAATAAGAATTAATAAAAAGTTTATCAACTCCTATATCAAAAGTATCAATTAATTTTGCACAGTTTAACCATTTGACTTTCCATATATTAGTAAGTAAAACCTTCATTAATGTGCTTAAGAAAATGTTTCATTCATAACATTGATAAATTGTTGAGGAACAAATTTAAATCTAGGTAATACAATTATGCTTTTGGGAAAATTAAATTAGTAGTTCTGTATCTTCACCGATAGAATATCAAATGAATGGTTATCATTTATATTATCCTAATGAAGATGGTTGTTTTAGCACAGAATTGTATACATTTATTTCAAATTAAATAAATGTTTTATTTGTGAAATAACAGTGCATTAATTTTTTATAAGTTCCACAACACAAATGGGAAGTTAAATAATCAAAGTGAATAGCTAAAGCATTAGTAACCATTAACTAGGGTATGAGCCACGATTTAAGATATACTGGTTACAGAACCATATGCTAAACGAGACCCATGAAAAGGACGTTATACCCACATCTACTGTATCAGTCCAAATACCGATTAATATACAAAAACAATGCTTACACATAATAACCAAAACTAGGTTAATTTTGATTTTAGAGATGTATGGTTACACATGTACATATTTAATCGTGGTATGAGTAGACATGTATTAATAAAATGTACATTATCATTACAAATGGCTAAACAGATAAAAAAAAACTTTTATAATAGTAATGTATTTAAATAAATCTTAGCGACATTTAATCAAGTACAATGAGCTTAATTAGACTTATACATAAGTTATTAATTTTGCATAATTTACCAATTTCATTATATACATATATAATGAACCGTTGATTATGCTTTTCAAGAAAAATTGTATATCAATAATGCAATGTCCCTTCACCGATAGAATATCAAATGAATAGATCACATTTATATTATCCTAATGAAGATAGCTATTTTAGCATAGAATTCTCTAAATTTACTTAAAATTGAATAAATCTATTATCTGTAAAATAACAATGCATTTTATTTGTATTAAGAACTACCTAGACTAGTAGGTAGATATAGCACATATTGGAAGTTAAATAATTTAAGTTACTAACTAGACTATGACTATACTTGTACCACTAAGAGAACGCTACTGGGTGGCGACCAAAATTCATCTGTTCTCGCACATTCCCATCACTAAACCTGTGTGAGTGCTGGCCGCCGCTGTCATATTGTATACACAGCGTGTACTGTATTGTTCTGTTTTTAAGTTTAAATGTTTAATTATTTGTTACTGTTTTTGTATAGGTAAAACATACATATAGGTATCTACTATGTGACAGTCACCATGAGTTATTATTTTAGTATGCTGTACACAAATAGTTTTCCGCTTGGTCGTGCAATTTACAGCGGTGAGTAGGTAGTAGAGTAACGTTCATTCAGTGGCACGAGTATAAATACTTTATTAATAATTTTATATTGTTAACACAAATGTAAGAATTAATAAAAAGTTTATTAACTCTTATTCAAAAAATGTCAATTAATTTTGCACAATTTAACCATTTAACTTTCCATATATTAGCAAGCAAAACTTCTCAACTGTGCTAAAGAAATACTTGCATCCATAACACTGATAAATTGTTTAGGCACAAATGTAGTTTATCAGGTAACATTAAATATTTCAACATTCTATGGAGTTATATTTAAGTTAAGAGCTAATAACGAGACAAAATAAACACTATTGCCTCAAGACTATCCAAATATTGAGCATAAAAATCTGTATACAAGTCTTAGCGACCAAATAGAAAAAAAAAAAAGGCAGTCAGATAGATAAAATAGAATTTCAAAGTCCTAGGTATCAATACAGTATTCTAATAAATTATCCATACAATAATTATTTCAATTGTTTCTTCACAAGCTGTTTCAATGAGAACTGTCCCTTCACAAGCATAGGTAATTTAGTAAAGGTGCACCAAAAACCTTTGGTAATTGCAAGTTATTTGATTTAGCAAAAGTCGAACAGTACTGCATCAATAATTGATGGAATAATTTTAATGACATTGCAATTTTTTGGTATTTAAACATAATAATTATAATATTAGTTGAATATAAAAAAATTTAATCAACATCCAAGTTTAAAAAACTTAATTTTTTGAAAAACGTTAAGAGTGTAAACATATTTGTTCCTTCACAAGCATGGGCAATTTAGTAAAGGTTCACCAAAAGCCCTTGGTAATTGCAAGTTATTTGATTTAGCAAACGTCGGACTGTACTACATCAATAATTAACGCAATACATTCAATGACGTTAGCTTATCATAGCAATTAACCAAGATGAAATTATATGCGGATTAAGAGTTCATAAATCAACAATCATTTATACGAACCTCTTCATCTGTGCATTCACCAGCCCGTTTGTTTAAGTCAACATCAGCCTTTTTCAACACAATGTTGGAGAAACGTCTGCCGATACCCTTGATGGCGGTCATAGCAAACATAACTTTACGTTTGCCATCGATGTTAGTACTGAGTATACGCAGGATGTGCTGGAACTTTTCCGGAATGACCAGAGACTAGAAAAAAAGGAAATTAATAGCAGTGACAATTATTAATGTCAAAAAATTCGCAACAATAAGATTCAAACGAACGAATTAATTTAAGGGGTCTTCATAAGAGCCGTATATAATTCGATCTAGATCTTATTTCGATTCGAATGGATAAAAAATTGCAGAGAAAAATATGTACTCACCATTTTGACGATGTTGTCGACAACAAAACCAAAAAATGTAAGACGGTGTAAATGATTATCGAGTAGCGTGTACTGTTGTCACTAGTCAGAAGTCGTTATTGTTAGGAGAGGGAAACGTCGGGGTTAATGCCACAGTGTGGCCAACTTAATTCAGTAAAGAAGTGAAATACAATAATATAACTTACTGACGTATCATCTATAGGTGGCCAGAAGCCCCTTGGGTTAATTAGATTATAATATCGTTGGTGATAAAGCAATACCATATTTGTACCTTAGTTCCATTGACTTTATACTATATAATAGACTAGATTAGTGATCAGGCTGTCTAAACCTTAGATCATATACTATAGATACGATTTTATACAATTTTTATAGTATATGATCTAAGCTCTAAACCATAGAGTATTATTACTCTATGGGCTGATAACAAAATTCAAAGATATGATGTAAGGAACGACTACTACGATAGTACAATGTGATGGAAAACTCGTTCCTTAAATTCGGGAAATCTTGATTTTTTTTTTTTCTTGCTTTGTTTTGTCGTGATTTTTTTTTACTACGAAGTACCAATTAGGGATGGGAAAAACGGGTCATTCAACTGATACAGATCTTTTAAATCGGGTCTTTAAAAAGATCCATTCGAACATTTGGTTCGTTTTACGTTTAGCTACTATAATGTTAGCGGTTCAAAGTGTAAGACTCATTTGATTCCTGCCAAAATCGATCGTTTTAAATACTTGTAAATTTATTGATTTTTAAACTCAATTTATGAAGATAAGAAAATAATACAGTAAGATTCATATATTTAATCAAATTTTTTTTCTCTTCGACAACCTTCTACTCCCATTATTTGATAATAATTGCATTTAAACGATTTTTAGAGTTCTCCTTAAGTTTTCTAGCTATTCTTTAACAACAGCATATGCGTGTACAAACATTTTTCATTAGGTGTGCAGAATAATGTTTTAGTAGGGACTACTACAATCCAGTAAAATGATTGCTTCTATATAATAATCGCTGTGTCCAAACCCCGAACCATGGTTGGTAACATAGTATATGCCCGACTACAGTCGAGAGTCCACAGAGGAATTTTTAAAAAGGGTTCTAATGAACAGCAACGATCCACATCATAAGTATAAATAATAATTATTAAATTATTTTAAATACATTAGAATATAGAATACAGTTAGAACTATCATTATCTAGTACTTTGAAGCAAAATTTTCCAGCATTTATATATGCGACAGTAACCAGTAATGGCTTTAAGTTAGATATTTCACGTATGGATGAAGCCACAATCATCCTTTATCTGAAATTTTATTTTCTAATTTACCAAATTAGTGTCGATTAGCTCCTCAAACCATATCAGAGGTAATTAAGATAATGGATTTGAAGGTTAATAAAAAGCTTATTCAGGTTAAAGTCCACAATGAAACTGGCAAAATGGTGAATTTAAAGGACTTATCAAATATCAATAGTACAGATAGTTTACCTGTAGTTAGGTTTTTGTTTTACATTTATTAGTTATTTATTTTTTCATAGAGAAACTTAAGCATAAAACAAAACAGTTGAAGAGGTACAAAATAAATACAAATGTACAATCAAATTATTAGTTGATGATGATAAAAATGTATTAGTTATGTTCCTTCAAGATGCTAGAATGCAAATAGAATTTGAACATTTTACTGAGATAAAGAAAATCATACAATTTTTATATCTAGATGGTTTGTGCTGATGCAACTTACAAGTTGATTGATCTGAAATATCATTATATGTCTTACTAGTGGAAAATGGTAATGACCATAGTGAAATAGCAGCTTTTGGCCTATTAGTCAACAAAGAGAAGGAAATACTAAAATGGTTTTTTAAAAAATAAATAGAACATAATCCCGCAAGTATGAATGTTCAAGTATTCATTACGGAAAAGGACATGAAAGAGCAGACTGTCCTAAAATCTCTATTTCCTGAATCGCACATGGTCATATTTTTATTTCATATATTAATAAGGAATTAACGTGTGACAAATTGGAAATCACAGACAATCAGCGAGATGTGTAAAAGTTTTTGAACAACAAAATTTAAAAACATGGGTGAAGAATTGTATCACAATCTTCTAACTTCTTATGCATTTAGTTTTTTAAAAAAATAATCTGGTGAATGACTTGGCAAAAGATGTTCTAGAAGATACGACACGACACTTATTACTTGTTCGTGTAGGTTTTTTAATTCAATTTGATTGCCATATAGACACATATTGAATAAAAGGAGACAAATATTATTAGTTGAAAGTCTATGTGATGTAAGGTGGACAAGAAATTATTATATAATAACAATAGTGCATAATCCTCCTGAACACACAACATACAAATAAATTGAAATTCAACAATAAAAAAAAAAACCCAAAAAATGTTGACAGCACATAGAAAGTACAAAAAAGTATCAATTGAAAGAGCAAAATTGGCAGAAATTCTGTCTGGAGTTTCCCCATTTAGTTTTGATAGAAGAATGTGTTGGTTTCAACAAATGTTCACCTTTGGAGACAAAGCAAAGATATTTTTAAAGAAGAAATTCCATTGGAAAATTCTACGGGTAATTATCTAAGTAACAATAATTGATTAAAACTAAATTAACAACTAATTAATACCCATTCTCAGAAACTGTATGTGATGATATAGTGGATCTGACCAAGTAAACTGTTGCAACTATAGTTACTCTTATACCAGCCGTGAATATAGAATGTGCCATTTTTACAGGTACCTATTCAATTAACTAACAATAATAAAATTAAAAATTTTATACTTAGTTAATGTTATACCAATCTCAGAAACTGATATTGTGGATTTTGAAAATGTCAAACTTCAAAATTAACTTCAATAGGTCTTGTTAGAAAACGAAATAATAAATTAATTCTATTTGCACAAAAATATTATATATTAAAAGAGAATATGATAATAAAGTCCGGAAAGACAAATATTTTAATAAAAGTGAAAAAAAAAAGTTTATTATTATTATTATTTATATATATAATGTATTAATCTTATGTGATTATGAGTTCTTATTAGTTTACTTTACTAATCTAAATGGAGCATGAGAGAGCCAACTTGAAATAGATGTATCAATATATTTTTCTGTCATCATTTTAAATTTTGCATGTGATCTGATAGCATCTAAAATAAACAAAATAACACAAATTTAAAGGTTATACTATTATATAATAATAATATATAAAACTAAATAAAAAAAAAATATACATTATTATTACTATAAAAATCAGTTAATTAATAAATGCATACAAGATGATTCACTAAGCATGCTCACCCCATTTTTTTTTTTTGTTAAATTTTGCACATATTCAAATTCTGATTTTTTGAATTTTTAAGAGTAGTTAAAGCCGATATTTTCAAATACTTAGATTTTTCACAACATTTAAGTAATATCCTGGGGTGATACCATCATTGGTTTTTCAAATGAGAACCTATATTAAAAACTCCATAAAAAGATGGATTATTATTTAAAATTAATTTTGGTATCTAAATTTTTAATTTACGTTAACCCATTAAAGAGCTATTTCACTTTTAAGTTTAGGTTTAGGGAGAGTAGTGGTGCCCTAATAAAACGCAGCATACCGTGTCACCACAACAAACGATAATCCACTACTGTGGAATTTTTAATATAGGTTCTCATGTGAAAAACCAAAGTTAATATTACCACAGGCGACTTCTTAAATGTTATGAAAAATATAAGTATTTGAAAATACCGGCTTTAGCTACACTTGAAAATTCTAAAAATCAGAATTAGAATAAATACAAAATTTAACAAAAAAAAAAAAATTGGGTGACCACGATTAGTGAATTACCCTGTATAATTTTTACAAAATAAAATAAATTACCAATTAATAAACGATAACTAAGTAAATTCAAAAATGTTTTTTTTTTTTAATTCTAGTAATGAATTGTTTACTAGCTCATCATGAAATGTTCTAGATAAAATCCTTTGAAAACTGTTCTCAATACTGCCAGCAATTAATAAAGATATATTTATACCTGTAAAATAGATAATTTAAATAATATTATCATTCAAATAAAAATATATATTGATTTTAAAGAAAAAAGTTACCAATACATTACAATGTTCTTTATCATTTGCAATTGAAGATTCAAATTATACAAGTTCTCCATTGTTGTTTTTGATAGGAAAACATTTTTTCAATATTTAAATGAATAGTTTAGACTATAGTCTATAGTTTTTATGCTATCAATTCTATATGTCAAGTTTCAACTTTGTGTTCTAATTAATTAGTTCTTCAAATCTATTCAAATTTAAAAAAGTAAAACAAATATTAGATAATAATATAACAGATACATAATATTTTTTAAATAAAATACTATAATTAAATTTTTAGAACTTTTTTCTTAAAGGGTATCACAGTAACATTTGCCGTCTTTGTCTATTTACCGGCAATAAAGTAAAAAAATAACTCAGTAGAACTCCCTTGATTTTGTTTTTAGAGTAAAAACAATTATTACAAAATTAAAAGATAACAATATTGAAAGCAAGACCACACAATTTAATTATTTCATTTTTACAAATATATAACGCTCATTACATAAGTAAAAATAAATAAAAAATACAAATCCTTATCTTCATGTTACTGTGATATTTTAATAATCATGTGATGATTATATAAAATATATATTATTTTAATTATCAACACATATTTTTTGAACATAATTCTAATATATTAAGTGTTTGATAAAAATATATATAAATATATACAAATTACCTGACAAATTTTGAGGGATATTTTCTTTGAAAAGAGATCTTTTAGTATTTATGGATAGGTCACTTGTAGATTTTAAGGGATCAATGGTCTTTTTTCCCACAAACCATTGTCCAGTTAGTGAATTAATCCGGTTTTCCAAAATAAACGAATCTTTTTTATTTGTTTGTGCTTGTTTTGCAGGATGATAAGGACTTATTACAACAGTGCCATCAACTTTATCTAAATAAAAAGTTATAATATAATGTATATATACATACACAATAATATCAAAGATATCTTCTAAGTTTGAAGAAAAAAATGCATTATATTTCTTACTTTAATCTTAGCCCTTAATATGTTCACTTTTAGAAGTCTTCAATAACCATAGCGGATCTTTATCAGAGTCATAGCCATTGCTACTAATTCTTTATTTAAATTATCATCCATATTTAGTGCATCATAAAAGTTGGTTCTATTGGTGAACTTTTAAATTCCAAAAAAAGTTTAATAATGAAAATATTAATGATATAGTATAGTACAATGAATTATGGACATATTTTACTCATATATAGAACTCATATAGTAGTGCCAATACGGTATTTATATAAAGATCCATAGGTACTCTAATTATTTAGAAATTACCTATATGAGTTGCATATTTTTCTGTATGCAGTGGTTTTATAGCAGACCAAGCTAGAAAGCTTTTGATAGCTTGATAGCTTTTGTTTTTTTTATGTTTTTTCCTAAAGTTTTCATCATCTTCTGTACAAAAAGGATCGGATTTTAAAGCAGCTTTTTTTGAATTTTGATTTAGCTAGAGATAAAGAAGCTGAAAAATATTAATTAATAGATAAATAATACAATGCATTTATAATATATCAACTGTCCCACGCCTGGTGTTTCCCGTTCCAAATTTTATTATTTTTACCTTTATTCCCGTATTGCTCTGCCCGTATCAGTATATCAAACAAAAGAAAATAGGTTGGGTATTTTAATTTCGTCCATGTTACTATAGCTATCCATAATTTAACTGAATACCGATCTACTACTATGAGCTATAATTCTATCGTGCGTCCTAGTTGTTAACAGCTGTTGTCTTTCTTTCTTTTCTCTCTGTATCATAAGCCACTATGAGGGTTTGATGCTAGATTCCTGTACATAGATTCATGAGTTTCAGCTCTATTTTCAGCAAGGCTCTGTGAGCGGTCGGCGTTTGATTGTCGTTTGTATAACTGTAATAATCTGGCATTTTGTTCTGTAAGACGAAGTAAACATTCACTAGTGAACATCCATTTCATGAAATGACAATACCTATACCTATTGTTTACTTAATGTCATTATAAAACAATTTTTTTTTATGTTTTTTAGCAATAAATAATTATATTATATCATAGTAAACTATACTTTTCTATATTTCATGAAACGGACAATTATATAAACCATACATACATTATATTTTAGAAATAACAGTGTTACCTATAAATATTATGAAATAATCATGAAATGAACTATACCTCTATTTCTTATATTGTTTTATTAATAAACTATAAACTATAAATTTTTCATTGGTGTTATTTTTTTTTTATATAACGATTGATTATGACATTGACTGTTAAATAGCATATATTATTTTTCAAACAAGTACACTTAACACAAACTATACTTTTCAATATCAATAAAAATTATAATGTTTTACCCGTGATCTATATTATATGCGAGAGATATCAAATTTAATTTTATAGTAAGTGTGCTTGTTTTAAAAATAATATGCTATGTAACAGTTGATGTCATAATCAATTGTCAAATCAAAAATAAATAATACCAAAGAAAAATATATAGTTGATAGTTTATTAATTATTGTTGAAATCAATTATTTTTCTAATAAAACAATATAAGTATGATTTATGAAAAATAAAATAAAAATATAATGTATAGGTAATATAATACCACTTATTGACCATAATTGTTATATTTTTGTTTATAAAACAACATAAATAGTAGTTAACTATGATATAATATAATTATTTATTAGTAAACAACATAACACATTTTGTTTTATAATAATTATACAAAGTACACAATAAGTATAGGTATTGTGATGTTCATATAATGTATTTTCATCAAAATGCACGATCTGGATTTGTTCATGAAATGAGTGATTTCACAATGTCATAGTGCAACATAAATATCATATTGCGACATATATATTATAATACGTGAAATTATACATACAATACAACTGATTTCCAAGTTTTCTGGCAGGCAAGAATATGAAGTCATTGTTATTGGGTTTATTTGGTTTTCAATTCATTTTCTAACAGTTTTAAGAGATTTTGGCCAAGTACATTTTCCGTTTAAAAACCATGTATCAGGAACAGCTTCAATGCTGTTATCTTTGAGGAAATAGATAACAATCCAACCGGATATCTATAAAAACCAAATATGTAAATAAACTATAAATTATATCTATACTAATTTATATCTACTAAATTTTATTCTAAGTATGAAGATATGCTTACATTAAATACTGATATAAATTACACGTCTGCACATCTAGATGTAAAATTGACACGGTGTCGAGGTTATAATACTATACCTACTGTATTATAGGTAATCTCTAAGTATATAGTACTAATTAAGATATACATGGGGTTTTTTTATACATATCTTAAATAGAGATATCAAATATCAACTATTGAGTTGAAGGTGTAGTTATTATAATATTACGATTGATTTTGACAACATTTGCAAAACTACAAAATAGGTATGTCTACTAACAGAATATTTGTCGTTTCCTTCACCTGATACCCAAGTATCTATTACATCATTTTCTAGAAAATGATTCCCACATATTCTGGAGATCTCTTATTTAAAGATTTTTCCAATTATCATGTGAAATTATAGGAATAAAAAACCTTGATTAATATGTTCCTAAAAAATTATCAATAAAACATTTGTCTAAACGAGGCACAGAAATAGTAAAAATTAATTTTGAGTATTTGAGTGATACTTTAAATTTAAGAATTACAATAATAAACAAAATATGCCCATGTCAATCTGTCATTGCCTTATTTAAATTTCGATGGAAAAATTAAAATTATTTAAATATAATATAAATATATAATTTATAATAGGTATATTCGGGATCATGAAGTAAAATATTTTAATTCGTGTTCGGGATTAAACAATAAATAATGAGCGGGAGATTAAATTAATTGATTATGTCTCTAGATCGCGCTAGTAGTCTGGCCGGTCGGTAGGTACCTAATAAAAATACAAAGAATATTAATTAGTAGTAAGTGTCTACCAAAATGCGTGTAAAATAATAATTATAATAATATTATATACTCACAATAAATCCTTCAACAGCTGGATTTAATAATTTAATATTCGACGACCTCATTAGCTGCACGAACACAGTAAATACCAACTGTCGGTCGGGCTTGTCCTTACCGCGTACGTCGGTCGGACTATATTGGTAAATGCTGGTGTTTAGTTTGACACTGAGCATAGCGTTGTTTACGGCGTACGCATATAAATACTTGTATTTTATTTTAAAATTCAATAACATATTCACTGCAATTAATGTTCAGTAGGTTATTTAAGAGTAAATTTATTCTTAATCGCAACATTATTTTGATCATCATTTTTCTTTATAATTATTTATTTCTATACCTATTAAGTAGGTACTTTGAGTTTTTCTCCTGTATTCCTCTTCTCGATCCTTTCTTTATTGGCGTACCTATTTCATCCACTTGATTACCCATCTCATACAAAAAATTGTTCCCACTTCAATCACAGTATTGATAGTTGGGTATTCCAAAGGAATGTGTATTTGTTATTTGTATATTGTTTCCTTAGAATTTATTCTTAGTAGGTCTATTGATTTATCAGTGATCTGGCCTTAAGTTTTTATTAATTCAAATTTTTGGGTGTTTCTACAATATTATCTTCCAACATCATTGGTATGATACCAATAGTATGATCATTGGTATATACCAACATCATATAATATTTGATTTGTCATAATAATCGTACTTTTTTTGAAGTCTTTAAAATTTATACTTAACGATTCTGTCTGATTAATGATGATTACTCTGTCACAATAAATTACCTACTGTTCTTTAAATAATAGTGTAATACCAAATATCCTGAAATATGTTTACTGTTCTTAAATTCATTTTTCAAATAAAAATCATTTTTCATGTTGTCTTTATTAGTATGGTTTTCGGTCGTAAAACATTTTTCTTAATCGTGTTTGTTGTTTCTCTGTCAATGAATTCAATTTCAAGTCACTGTATGGAAATCTGTCTTCAAAATTCGATTGAAATTTTACGCCTTCAACGGCCGAGGTTTGGTTTTGAATCAAATCATCAATTTCCTTATAGATAAAATCTAGATATTTTCGTTCACATGATTGTAAACGTTCTTTACATACAAGATCACTAGATAAAGAATGGAAACTTAAAAACTACGATTAAATTAAATGCTTTTATTAAAAAGTAATAATTACTTAAGTAATATTTATACTTACTACGATTTTTTAGATGTCTTACGAGACATTACCAGAATAAATATTGAACTGAACTATTAATCAAATATTTTGTTAAAAACAATGCAGTAAAATATTTGATTATAAAATAAAATAAGTTTTGTAAATAAAAATATATTATGAGTAGGTATACTTGAACAAATTTACTTTACATAATTAAATTATAATTATATTGATGCAGGGAAAAACTTATTGATAGCAATAAAACCAAAATACATATTTCTATACATTACATTACATATTAGATAGGAATATAGGTAGGCTTATATTTATTTACTAAGACTTTTTCAATGTTTAAAATAAATATGTAGGTACCTACTGAACAGAATTATTGATCAAACACTCTGTTAGAAACTATGTAGTAAATAAGACGGATGACGGTGATATAAAACACAATAGGGGTATACAATTTTGTTATTATTTAAACTAAAAATCGCCAGAATGTTTTGAACATATTATTACATTTTGTAAAAATGATCTACAGATTGCAATTATTCTTAACCGAATTACTATAAAAAATATATAATCAAAAATAATGAAACTACTATTTCCTTAGGTATGTTCGTTTTTAGATTCTGAGTGGAGCGAGGTATGTATTGGTTTTACAAAGATGTTTATTTTTCTTTTTTTTTTATGTGAACAATTTTTCTACCAGAAAGCATACTCCTATTATCAAGTATAGCACATTTTCTGAAAGGAAATGTTCTCTGGGTGGTACTTTAAAGAAGTCATTTTTTGAAATTCTCATAAATATTCGAAATAATGAGGATAACCTGGTTCTTTAGGTTAAAAAAGATTGAAAGATTAAAAATAAGGTTTTTATTGGCAACCGTTTTTATTTATTTTTTGTTATTATTAAGTATTTTTTATTTTAAATCATTTTTTGAACAATCATTGTCATGGAAACGCACATTGTTGTAATACCATAATATGACATAATATATATTGTTGACAATGCATTACTATTAACTTGTTTTGACTTACACTTTATCGAAGTCTTGGTCGTTTATCATACGAAGGGTCTTGGAGCTTTCATAATTTTTCATTAGGATATCTCCGTTGTTGGTCCAGACGAATTTGAATTTTTTTTTCTTTTCCTACTTATCTGGCTTTCGCGAAAATGGTTCTCCTGTCTTTAGTTAATCTTTCATTTATATATATTTTGTTTTCCATAGGCCAGGTATTAATTATATTATTTGCTGTATGTTTATAGGTTTTACTATTGCTGATAAGCTTTTTTGTATCTCTGTGGATTCGAGTTGTGCCACAATTATGCTCTTGGTGGAGTTATTAAAGTGAATTCTGTTTGCTAATAAGACATTGATTTTCGAATTGGTTTTTATATCAATTTCTTTTACAATTTCTATGCAGCTTTCATGTAGAGTGGTGGAAATTCCGGTTATGTAAAGCTATTTAAGTTACTTTGTTCCATTTTATCAATTTTATGTTTGAGCATGGAAATTTCATTTGATAAGTATTTATTTTCGTTGTTAAAAATTTAAGTTGATACACTCATTATCTCGGAAAGTATTAACTTTTTTCGGAATTTGTTTTATAGAAAAGTTAAAAAATAAGCTGCTCTACAATTTTATATCTGTGTTATTTTTTGTCGCTTTTATTTTTGTGGGTAAAACCACCACCTACTTTTGATTTTCAAATGACAACCTATATTAAAAAGTCCATAGATAGATGAAGTATTAGTTAAAACAAATTTTTCTGTTGAAATATTTGATTTCCGTCGATCCGTTGACGAGGTATTCCATTTTTAAGTTTTGGTTGGAGAAGAGTAATGGAGTATCATTTATGTGGCGGTACGGCGCGCGGCGTGTGTTGATATGGCACCACCACTCGGGAGTGGTTTTGTTTATAATAATTTCTTATAGAAGATGATAGCACATATTATCAGTACAGTAATATCACTATTATTACTGAATTAATTATTTTCGATGAAATTCAATATTATTTTATTCTGTTGTATATAATATTATGATGTTGATTGTAAAACTTGATTTAAAAAAAATGTAGTAAAGACATTTTGTTGGAGGTTATGACCTTTTCCCTGACCCCTTCTCTGAGTGTGCCACTGCGACTAATAAGACAATTCCCATGTCTAGCTATTTGAATGTTCTATTAATTTATTTTTATATATTTCCCACCCTCCTCCGTTTAGGACCTCTGTATCCGCCTTTAATTTGGACAAAGATTTGTGGTAGAAAAATATAATTCTACAATTTTAAATAATAAAATGATTGCGCCGTAATTTGGAAAAAATCGTATTTTTCGTCGTTATTAGTTTTTCTCAATTATTATATAGATTTAATATTTTTTGTTGAAAACATAAGTCATAAAAGTTTTAAATATAGGAATCCTAGGGAATCCATCAATTATCATTTTTCTTAATTTTTGGGTTTTTCTTTTTCTTTTGAACTTTCATTTAGTCAAGAAATTTGATTGATTGACTACTCGTGATGAAGTTTTATAACAATTATACGTAAGAAGAGAAAAAATTAATTTAGAAGGACAAAGTCCCAGGTGACACAGAGATGGCATTACCAACATCACCAGCGAAGGAATAACCTACAGGAAAGAGACAAAGATTATTGAAATGCTCCTCTTGTAAGTACCAAAATAATAAATGTATTTGTGTTAAAAATTTACTGTGCCATTCAAAAAGTCAACTACATATTGTAATAAGTAATAATAATAAATACAAAATATTAAGTATCTAGCATTTGCTAAATTGATTTTTTTACTTTGCTTAGGACAAATATGGTATTTTATAAAATGCTTGGATATTATGAAAAAATATATAAATTATCAATATCGCCGGTAACATACATATTTTCTTTCACCCCATTTTTTTGGTAAAATTTTGCATACATTCAAATTCTGATTTTTGAAATTTTTAAGTATAGTTAAAACCGATATTTTCGAATACTTTTTGATTTTTCACAACATTTAATAAGGAGAACCTTGGGGTGATACCAACTTTGGTTTTTAAAATGAGAACCTATATTCCAAATTCCACAAATAGACGGAGTATTACTTTAAACCAACTTTGGTGTCAACAATTTTAATTTCCATCAACCCATTAACGAAATATTCCACTTTTAAGTTTAGGTTGAGAGAGAGTAGTGCATTAATAAAACGTCGTGCGCCGTATCATCATACAAATGATACTCCATTATTATGGAATTTTTAATATAGGTTCTCATGTGAAAAATAAAGTTGACATCATCATAGGATACTCTTTAAATGTTATGAAAGATCTAAGTATTCGAAATTATTGACTTTAACTACATTTGAAGATTCCAAAAATCAGAATTTGAATTAATGCAAATTTAACCAAAAAAATTTATAAATTTATCATTTTTTTTTTTTTTTTCATATTTAATCCAACAAAACAAACAAATAAACATTACAAAATCGATTATTTAAGCTTGATATCTTGTGTTGAAGCGAGGGGAGTTATTGTAGTTAAAAATATTAAATAATATACATTACATAGCGTATCATAATAATATAATATAATAAAGATTGATAAAGAACACGAGATATTATAGACAATCTAAACAGTATAATTATAAGAAAAAAAAATTACAACTGTAAAAGCATAAATGCATAATATAATATAGACTTGATATAACATTGCACTTAAAAATAAACAAACAAGAAAAACCAAACAGACTTTACATACACAAAGCGTTCTTCTCCAATTCCAAAAATAAATATTTGTATGCTACATATTTAATATTCACCCATTATTGTATTTTTTTAAAATTCATATGACATAGAATTAATAATTGTTGATTTTAATCTTTGTAGAATCGTTTAAGCTTTATTTTAGAACCATTTTTAATTTCTACCCTTACTCCGTATATCTTAAATAAGAATATACTTTCGTTTTTCAAATGGTAGCCCCCCCCTTTTTGAATACAGATTCGAATAGAGTATCTTTTTCTAGACATTTTGATATGCATAACACTGATAACAGATTTACCATTTATGAGTTGTAACTGTTTAAAACTTAGACCGGATGAATATAAGGAAGAGTTGTCAGTTATCGTTTGAAAAATATAGACGTTTACCTTTTTATAATAAATAACTCTTATTTTGTATTTATAATAATAACATAATAATATAATAATTATTAACTAATTCATATCTTATATGTATTATTTATAATAATATAAAATCACTGATTATTTTTCAGAACAATTTCAACCCCCCACCCCTCCCACAAAAATTTGGAAATACGTCACTGTAAAATCTTATAATGAAACGTAGTATTTTGTATATTTTTTAAACAGCAACTAAAATCGAATTGTCAAAAGTAATAAATATAATACGAATACGTGTACGCGTCGGTCGCCTTGAAATACAATTTTATAATATGAAAATATAATACTTCGTATTATTTTAATGTGCGATGATGATACAGCCAAATTATAAGATGACAATGCGCTCGCGGCAGTGATTATATTCAATGTCGTGGATAAAATATTGATTATGAAAACGTGATGATTATCGAAATAAGTGCATAATACTATACACAGCGGCGTATGCAGGGGGGTCGTGTCGACTCTTCATTGGTTCTTAAAAATACAACAATTATACGAATATCTATTTATTTATTAATTTTAATTTTGAAATGCATATTATTATATTTCAGCCAAGTTATACAAGGAAAAGCTTTTGTTTATTTAATATTAAATCAAAATTGATTTTTTTTTCTCCGGCTTTTAAATCCCTACTGTCGGGGTCAATAGAAGACGATACTAATATTCTATACACGCGATTTATTCATTATCAGCGCCCTTAAAACCTTGAATAAATATATTACGCATGATATGTACCGGAATATGATCTGAAAAAAAAAAAAAAAAACTAATGATAAAAATCATGTTGAAAATCCCTCGAAGACGTACGAAATCGTTAAACAGTATCACTTAATAATGTACAAAACGAAAACGCATTCTGTTATAGACTAGCCATTTATTATTTTTTTTTTTTTTTGGACAGACCGACACGCAAAAGTTTTACATAAAAAATATCAGCCCCATTCGCGATTGTTATTATTGAATAATAATAATATAGGGTGCACCTGGGCCAACACCCAGGTGCACCCGTCGCCGTTGAAAATTCCGGCGCACGTCGCCGAATATATTATAACGCATCCATTAGGCATCTAACGCATTGCGCGCGTGTGTGTGTGTGTGTGTGTGTACAATATTATTTACAAATAATTCTTAATTTGCAACATTGAACGCCGCCGCGGAATTCGACAAGACTAATTCTGTATAGAATAGGAGGAGGTGACCGCGCGCGGTATCCGCGGTCGGCGCAGTCTCTTCGCGGACTTCGGGCTAAACGCACCGGGCGCGCTCATTCGCCGCCACCGTCGTATTCGACATTTATTTATATTATAATGTATGCCTACCAATAACACCGCAGCCGCATCGCCGAACGCCGTTGTTTTCGTTGTCGCCGCCACAATAATATATTGAGATCCGCCGTACGCAATTTGCATAACCGCAGTGAGTATATTTTCATTGTGCACCCCTCAAATAGATGTATAATTTTACCGTTGCATTACGTTTGGTTGTCTGACCAAGACGAAAATAATAGTGCGTTTATTTAATCGTCCAATCGTCCAACGATCGGCAACGATAGAGCCGCGTATAAACTTTGTGGATGACGCGTAGAGGGAATAGTACCCGAATGGAATTTGGTTTTTTTTTTTTTTTATTTTCCCGCGCGGAGGGGAACAGCCGGCGCATATACCTACTGTGCAATCTCGCGACGTTGACGAGGGGGCGTCCTTGAACCGCAGTCGTTCAACAAGTAGGCAACCCACCTGTGTAGCGTCCAGCCTTATACCGTTCGCCGACGGGTCTTTCACTTTACGCCGGCCAAACCGCATTTATAATAATGATAATGATAATAATATTATGTTCGGGTGGTATACCATAATAATATTATTATTATTGCCCAACGCGCCGCCGTCGTCGGGGTATGGTGTAATCGGGTCGCCGTCGTTGCTGCCGCGCGCGCGCTCGCGAGAGAATGACATAATAACGTCTCGGCGTTTTTTTTTTTTTTTTTTTTTTTTTGTTTTTTTTTTTTCAGACCGCGCACTTGAACGCTGCCCGCACGTTCGCCCGGCATAATGCGACGCGGTGCCCACCTATAAATACCGTCGTCCGGGACCGTGGTCGAAACCGCAAACGCATTATCGGTTATTAGTTGTTTATTAGCGTTAGGCGCACTAATTAGTACATTGGACTAATTTATTCGTTAACATGATGGTAGATACCGATTCGATTGACCGCGTGCCGCCCCGTACGGTGGCGCCGGTCTGCATTCTAGCGCCCGCGCGGTGCGTACAAATTTTAACCACTACCCGCCCCTCGCCAAACACCTCACACAATGTCGTTACAGTTTAGGTCCAAGGTCAACAGTTCCAGTAGGTTCCAGTAGGACTCTTGTGCAACACTGTTTTCTATATTTCTATATGGGTGCTGCACATCTATCTGTGCCATAACCAAATGTGGAGATCGGTGGTCGATCGGTGTGACTTAGCGCTCTAAAACGTATACCAAGTCCTAAGTTTTAATTAACTTTTCAACCGACTTAACATAAATTAACTTATATTATTATTTAAATGTATAGACCGGTAGATAGGTATATTATATATTGTCATTGAAATTTAGTACCTTCGGATGTGAGGGCGAAGGTTTTTCAAGTTTCTTGAGTGGGAAAAATATAAGTCCTGTCTCACAAAATTTCTCACTATAAAATAACATACATATACAGTGGAACCTCGATAACTCGAACCTCTATAAGTCGAATTTTCGATAACTCGAAGGAATACCTTGGCTCCTGGCTTCCAAAATATGATATGTGATATATATATGAGGTTTTCCATAAGTCGAATTTTCGATAACTCGAATTTTTTTTTCGCCCCCAACCGATTCGAGTTATCGAGGTTCCACTGTATATTGTACATTGTATATTGTTGACAAAGCATCACTATCAACTGAACTCCGCTCAGAATGGGTTTTTCATAAGCAATAGTTTATTGTTGCTTATAGATGTACATTATGTACAATTATCTATAACAGTGGCTGCACCCGTTCCCATTATCCTAGGACGTCTTTTTTGCTCATCGTCTTTTTGCGTGGTTGGTTTTTAGGCACCCATGGGCTCATCGCTAGACTATAATCGCCGGGCAAACTTAAATTTACTAGTATAAGTAACTATAAAGTTACTTATAATCTACTCATTTTTGATCTGCTTTTAAAATTACATTTAGTGACGCCCAATTTGTGTTATTCTAGTGTAGCACAACGTGCTTAGCACATTGACTCAACAAATCCTATACGTCTCTTAATAATTTCTTATTAATAGTTCACTAAGATATAATTGTCTTTTAAAAAACTACATTTCGAATTGTACATGGTATCAGATTTTTACATACTATTATTATAACTTAATTTTTACATATGCAACCCTAGTCCTTTCAAATCATCATCACCCATATGCGTTTAACGAATGTTACGCTTTTAACCCAGGGTTGGAATTCCGTACAAAAGCAAATCGGGCAGGAACCATTTATTAGTAGACGGTATATTTTATTTCGAATTGAAAAATAGATCGTAATAATAATGTTGTAATTGAATCACAACACGTACTTCTTCTTAAGAGGTCGTCACATTTTTATTTCTCATCTCTGCAGTCTTTCTAATGGGCGTCGACAATAAGTACTGTTGTAGTAAACATATTGTGTTCAAGTAAACTGGACGAAAAGACCTCGAAAATCGATTTTAGATAATAAACACCTATTATATTTTTGGGTAACAACATGTTTTTGAAGACAATTCCATCGGAGTGTCTTTCTAAATTTTCGACCCATTATCGAAGTTACAAAAATCGCATTTAATATATTTTTAGATTCTTGGTAAAGCGAGGAATATGTTAGTTTTACTATGATGTGTGTGTGTTTATTTTCTGTTTGTATACAATTGTTCTATCAGAAATCTTGCTCTAATCAAATAATGCCCAAAAAACCTTTTTTGTTACCTCTTGGTTCTAGTTGGCACTTAAGTAGGTAGGCGAATGGGGCAGAAGCATCATTTGTGTAACGACACCGCGACGCTAGTGTAAAATACCTCACTAGGTATATTTAGTGATTCACTACTGTCCTCTAATTCACAAAACGGCAAACTTAAAAATGGAATATCTCTTCAGCGGATTATGAAAACTAAAACAGACAATACCAACTTTATGTAACTTACTTTCCCACCTACAACGGGGGCATACTCATCCCCAGTATCAGATTATTTTAAGTTTTGATTTTAGTTTAGTTATTACTGTACATAGGTACGATAGGTACCTACACAATGATTGAAATATTACATGTGAAATAAATTTTATACTCTTATTTTATGTAGTGTATATTTATTTAGGATCGTGTAAGAACATGGCTTTTTGGTGGTTGCTGCAGTCGGCAATGTGGTATGCCGCCATTCTGGTGCTAGCCAATCCATTGACGCCAACCGTAATCATGGAGGTTTTGCCCAAATTGCCGTTGTTCATTATACAACGTTTAGGAACTATTCCGATCGAATCCATTTAAACGGGACGACCGTAAAACTGCGTCACAGTCGCTCGTTCGAAGTTGCGTCAAAATTATGATTCCGATATAATATTATTATTATAATGTAATATTATAATAATAAGTATTTAAGTAATGGTAATAGGAAGCTGACTAGGTGGCCTTCTGACCGGTTTGTTTCCAAACGGACAGCGTACCGTTGAAAATAGTCTGACCGAACACAGTGTCCTACCGACGACCACTACTACTGCCCGAGTTCAATAATGAAAATGATTAAGGTATGCTTAAATATTATTTAGTACGATTAAAATAATGTCTAATTATAAGTTCGTTTGTTATGTTTAAGTACACTGATTAATTAATTAGTTTTTTTTTTTTAATTTCTTATTCGACGTACGTTCAATTCGCACGGTACGCTGTACACAATAGTTTTAAAAAATATTAAGTACTTAATGCGATGCTTTTACTCGTACGAAATAAATAAGCATATATCCTGTGTTTCGGCTGTTAAGCGTAAACACAATAAAACGAGTAAATCTTCAAACATAATATTCTATTTGGGAGGTATTGAAATTTATTATAATCACGTTTGTACTTGAAACATACTGAAAAACCGTACATAAATTTATAATCTGTTGTACATATAGGAGTATAAGATGCAATATTTTGTTCCGAATTTAGTTGTCGCATAAATGAATCATACAAGTTGTACATTTTGATTTTTTTTTTTACATTAACACGACATACTATTCATTTTCACTACTAACAAAATGTTTTTATAATTTTTTCTAATATATTCCCCCTATATTTTAAATTATAAGTGGAGCGAGGAATATATTGGTTTTATAATGATGTTAATTTTTTTTTTTTCATACTGTGTACACAAATTCTACCATAAATCTTGCTCAAATATATACGCGTGGCACCATGTATGAAAGGGAATGTTGTCTAGATGGTACTTTTGGCACGTTTTTTTTTTGAAATTCTCATTAATATTGGAGATATTGAGGAATATCTCGGTCGTTAGGTGAAAAAAGATTGATAGATTGAAAATAATGTGTTTTATTTTTTGTTATTATTAAGTTTTTATTATTTTAATCTTTTCAAAACAATTATTGTTGTCGTGGAAACGTACATTGTTATTTTACCATAATATGACGTATTCCATGTATTGTATTGTTAATAAAACAACATTATCAACTGAACTCCGCTCATAATCGTTTTTTCGTTAGCAATGGCTTATCTTTACTTAAAGGTATACATTAAATTCCCGTCTATATCCTACTTTCTCAACTTCCCACCTACAACAGTAGCTGTACCCACGTACAAAGTATGTCCGTCCTTTTTTGTTCTAAATTGTATAAGTGTATTTTTAACATTTAATTTGCTTGTATTGAAAACTATTTAAAAAATTGACTTAAACCTTTTTGCTTCTGGGCAGTAGCGGATTTTCAACATTTTTCTGGGAGGGGTCCTGAAAAATCATATGTATTTAAAAAAGGTATCTCTATTAATAGATGCCAATTTAGGATGATATTTAATTGAAATTATATCGTTATCTGGGGGAATCCAGACCCCCAGGACCCCCTCTCCCTCCATAAATCCATACATTTCTCTGAGACGAAAGATGTTATATTACCGGGTAGGGCTTTCAAGGGGATTTTTTTATTATCATAATATATTAATTATACTATATTCACATACATTGAATGATTATATCTTGTGAAATTCACTATGTATAGCCATCACACTTTGAGATACACAGTGTACTCGCAGTATAAGCCATAGCCATAGTAATGATGGTTCAGAATTATTTAAGCAGAATCTTATTAGTTGTATATTTTTTGTTTTTAACACGAATAATAATGTTAGTCTTATTACATGAATTTTTAAAACTACCCACTAGGCATTTTTTATCGGCTGATGAGTTACACCCGATTTTTAAGTACTTACATAGGCATGTATATTTTTTGTACTTCATAACCTGTATGGTGTTGCATTTGCATTGATTAAATCCTGGACGGACGCATGAAAAAATACGAATTATTACCGTTAGTTTTTAACAGTTATTTGTTATTTTATTATTTATTCTTTTTTGTAAACTGATCACTTAATTTTCCGGGGTGGGGAGGTAATTTTATGGTAGTTTTAATGCAATATTTCAATCAGAGTTTGGCTGCATAATAGTTCCGTCCGATTATAAAAATTTAATTTTAAGATATATTTAACACCGGACTTAACTAAACATTTTTTAAAACATATAAATTTGTTTTTATATCAGTAGATATAGACTGTATATTTTCTTTTCTATAATAATTTCGAGATATTGTGTATAAATACAAGTTATGAATTGATGTCGATTATCGAACAGCTATTGATTACCGATTAGGTATCATTGTACTTGTTAACTATTAGATATATTTAAATTTAAAATGAATATTAGTATTAGTTCTTAAATATCATTTAGAAAAATTTCAAATTTGCTGATTTCAATTACGATTACACTCGTAATTGAAATTTGTTATACACGCTCAAAACAAACTTTTCTGTGTAATTTATTTATTTGTTTAATAATTATACGCCCTGAAGGACATTGGTAATGATTCGATTGTGAAACGGTGGCCTAAATATTTGATATTCAAAATTTATTATCAATTATAATAATATATCATGGAGTGAATTCGTATAAAAATGTATTTTATCTATTCGATCTATTTAATTTGATGCATTACTAATGATGCCATTTTTATTGGTTTTCCTTATAGTTTTCTTAATGAAAACTATTAACTAGTAATTTTTTATTGATTTCTGGTTTGACACCCTGGAAAAAATTGGGAAAATACGACTAATATAATAATAACACTGCTGGAATGGTTTTTCGTTAGCAATGGTTTAGTAATTGTAGCGGAGAATCCGTATTACAGGTATGATATAATAATATATTAAGTATTTTTATTCTGAACTGAATTATAATAATGTATTTGTTTTACTATGGTATTTTTTTGTGTCTACAAATAATTTGTCGAACAATATTTTGCTTCAATTAAAAACCGACAAGAGAGTTTTTTATAGTATTTTGGATGTAATTGGTGCGTATTGAGAGTTTTTTTTTTACTTTTGAAGTATTTTTCAAGTATTTGACAAAATCGGGAAAATATACACCTATATAGACAAAAATGAACAAATTTACGACAGTTAAAATTTCATTATTTTAGATTTTTTTACCAGAAACATTGTTCAAAATTTCACAAATAGTGTATTTTTTGAAAGAAAAAGTGTTGTCTAGTTGGTGACCGATACCGTTTTACAATTTTTTGTACAGTTTTCTTAATAGTTTGGAAAAACGGGAATGTTTTCGGCATAAACGATTTCATTATTTTTGGTTTTAAGAAGTGTATATAAGAAATATTATATAGAGATTAAAAAAGAAAATAATAATACAAAATATTTGTAATGATTAATTACCTACATATTGTGTATACCGAGTGTCTATTTCCAATTACGTTAAAATATATACATTTCCAATAACTTCCTGGATTGTGAGATTTATTAAGCGTGAAGATATTACAAATTCACAAACAACATTATGGTAATCTATAATCTATATAATATCTTCAAGGACTCGACAAATCTGTACAGTCATTATAGAATGTTGCAGTGATGAGATAAGTTTCTTGCGAACACTTAGGGTTGATAAAATGTACTAGAAACTACTGCAGGAATACCGACGCGTGGTAACCACTTTCAAGGATCCCTAACATTTAAATTTACTTCCTGTTCAGTGCAGTAACTAATACATATACTTATACAACACGTAAAACACACAACTTCTTTGTTCATAGATGTATTCTTTTGGTTTATTATCTACCTGATAGTAAAAATAATTTTAAAAAAATTGATATTTATTTACATTTTTATATGTATATAAAAAATTTAGATTTAGAGTGAATTTTTATCATTATATTTTTCCTTATTTTGACGAAAATGTTTCTATTTATTTGCAGACGATTTTCTAGGATGAAAAATAATTATCTTCTTAGTAATAATTATTTAGGCAAAATATACCTTGAAAAAAAAAAACATGATTCATGAACAATTGTAATTTATTTTGTAATTATAAATTAATACAATTGATAAGAATAAACCTAACCACCAGGCCGCCGTAATCTTACCTAGCCCGCCTCGCTGATTGCACATTTGTACTAATTAATCAACTAAGTACAAATATTTGTGCTGCACAGTTATTTAATTTGCAAAATAACTTCAAGAAAACGCTTCATATAATAAACGTAGATACATTTTGCTTGAATTATCATCTAATTACATTTAATTAAATATTTTTAGCCCCTCCCCTTATTTAAAAATCTCGGGTTCACTGCTGATTCACACTTATCTGTTATCTTATTTGAGATAGTTAAAAATTCAAATATTTATTATCTTTTATCTTCTTCTAAACGTAGATAAATAGATTGTACTTGGCTACTTATTTTTCTAGCACTGTTTATAGGTACTTATCAACAAAATATATTTTAACATTTTTATTTCTAAACTTTGTTAAAAAATGTAGTTTTTATGATACAGGGTGACCAATTCTTGATAAGACACTCCATCATTATTTCAGAAGGTATTAATTATTTTCGATAATTTAAGAGACAAGCAGTACTAAATTGTTACATTACCCATTTTCAAATAGCAATCTATATTAAAAGACGCCCTAGCATAATGGAGACGGGTGCAGTCATTGTTAATTTGTATAGGTAATTTAATGTATATCTGTAAGCAATGATAAACCATTGCTAATGAAAAAATGATTCTGAGCGGAGTTCAGTTGATAGTGATGCTTTGTCAACAATATATATGTCATATTATAGTAAGATAATTAAATACGCATTATATATTCGTTTAATATTGTACCGATTTTATTATGTTTTTTCCCGATTTTTTCCATTTATTGGAAAAATTCTTGGAAAAATCGAAAAACTACCTCCTTAAAATATCTTCCCAGTCAGATTTTCGTTCAGAAAAGTGCTATAATTTTTAAATCGGAGCGAAATTGCTGATAGAAAAGTTTTACAAAGAAAAAAAGGTCATAATATTTTTTACTAATACCTACATTTTGTACATTTTTCGTTTGTTGAAAATTTTACTACGTTTAGAAAAGGTAAATATAAGTTTTCTGTCTAAATTTTAAGTCTCTACGAACATTTTAAACTGAATTACAACAAATCACACGATTAAAAAATAATAAAAGCATTATTTTCGTAAATTTCCCGTTTTTCTTACCAGGTATTATGAAAACCGCTTGGAAAATCAAAAAATAACGTTCCAAAAGTACCATCTAGACAACATTCTCTTTCATACATGGTGCCGCGCGTATATATCTGAGCAAGATTTATGGTAGAATTTGTGTACACAGTATGAAAAAAAAAAAATAGACATCTTAGTAAAACCAATACATTCTTCGCTACACCCAGAATCTAAAATTCTATAAGTAGATGACATTTTAGTTTAAAATATATTTTAGTGTGAAAATTTGTAATTTCCATCGACCCGTTGTCGAGATTAAAATTATTTTATATAAAAAAATATATATATATATTTTAATTGAACAATTTTATTTATAGGGGCTCTTAATAGGAAATACGCTGTAGTAATTTGATTTTTGTTTGTAACATGATAGGTTGAATTAATCTTTGCTAAAATAATACATGTATATATTAATTATTATTGTAATAAAATTATAAATTATTATTAGGTAGCTTTAAGGTTAATACTGACGTACCGTAGAATTGCGTGTATAGGTTATAAGTGAAATAACCACTCAAAATCAAAAATGGAATGTTCTGTTATTAGATTTACATATCTAAATATCTTATACTTACTCTACTATCGATAGAATAATCGTTTTGAATACTGGTGCAAATTACAAAACGCATTTACGTAGATACCTGTTGTAGGTAGTATAAATCGAACACATCGGGTATAAAAATAGTACCTAAAATCTAAATACATATTTTCTTCGCGTCCGAACGTTCTGAATTTTTCAATCGACTATTGGTAGGCATATGTTATTTAATTTGTATGCAATATGTTTTATAAAGCAAAAAAAAAAAAATTAAAAAAAATACTTATACTGTTCTGGGTAATAATTATTAACTATTACTAGATATTTCATTTTTACAATAGAAAATATTATGTCTGAATGTATGAAATGTTTGCCTGCTAGGTATATCTACTATATATTATACATTGGTAAATAATATACTATTATATTTGAAATATTTGAAAATGAAATAATTATCAGTTTTTTTTTTTTTATTAAATAAGATCCGCGGCTATTAGGCCATTGTACGTTACAATGCGTTACAATGATTATCAGTTTTGTATTACTATGTAGATAAGAATGAGTAGGTAGAGATCGTATACAAATTATATTATGATCTAGGTTAGACATTGATATTTGAATTTTATAATATCATCATCATGATTTCCCGCTGTATTAAAACAAAATATATGTATATTTGTGTATAATAAGAGGTACTTACAAACAAACTGTACAAATAGGTCGACTTTCAACACAAGTGAAATATTTTGTCAATATTTTGTAACGAACAGTCACGGTGCTCTATGTTCTAATTGAATATGCATCAGCGGTCTTTCGGGTTTTAGCTTGTGTATAATAAGCATTACGCATATTGCATACAATCAACGCGGTAAAAATAAATCATATTTTCATACAAAAACAAATAGTAACAATGACAGCGTTAACGAAGAAAATCGTTCATTAATTTTATTGTATTGCATATAAGCAAATAAGTAACTATGGGTAAACTCTGAAGGTTAAGTGCCCGTATCACTTGAGTATTTTGATACATAAAACTTGTTTTTAATATATAGTATAGTTGACAGTAAATATTAAGTTAAATGTTATTCGGAATTAATTTTTTTTCTATTCCTTTATATAAGAACAACAGCAGCGATAAGAAAATTCTTGTTTTACTGTCCGTTTTTTTTTTTCTAGAAGTTGTTCAATAGTACTAAATTACTAATACGTTATTATCGTTGACCAAGTGTAGACGTACGTTACTGTGCTCGTAATATATAGGTATTTTATTTCAATAATATTTTGTTAAAACAGTGGTGTTTTAAATCGAGTTTTAAACATACCGAAATATATCATTACGTTTACATACTCAAAAAGTTTTAATTTTAAGTAATATTATATAATTTATTATTTCATAGGTAGGTACCGAGAACATTGATATATTTGGTGTAAAATCCTATAGGTAGGTACCTACAATAATATTTTAGAATTATATAGTATAGTCTTAGGATTTGAGCAAATATTTAATTATATCATATAAATATTTAGGGTTTAAAGGTGTCTAACTATTCAATTACTTAACGTACATGTAAGTAGGATAATATTTAATACCTTTAGGTTTTCGTATACAACTATCGAATGATAACGTTCGATGAAAAGTTATATTGTAGTTTGAAACTTTTCATCTGTCGATAATTCAACATAATTATAAAAATATCACGCTTTAATTATGTTATAGTTAAGTATAACTATTAATATCTACGCATATCCTGTATTCAAAATTAATAAAATATATCAATAAGTATCACCCTGTAGTGATCCATTTAAGTGGCTATTCCCGATATTTCGAAAAGTATTCTTTTTCAAAGCATTTTTTTTTTTTTTTTTGTGATTATTTAAGAAACAAGCAGCTTTGGTCTGCTTGGTCACGACTTTAGTCAGTTTATAAATAAATAAAAATTGATCACTTTGTGAATAGCTGTTACCTTTATCTTTATATTGGTTTTAATTCATTTGGAATTATACCTACATATGTATACCTAATATCAAATTGAATAACAAAAAAAAAGTTAAATTTTATCAGGAATTATGCAGAAGTAAATGTACACCTTTATTAGTTATATATAATATATTTAACTCCTTCAATATATTATATAGGTATACCTATATAATTATTATATAACTTCTGTCTTTAAATTATTATTATTACACATTTGTATTTTTTTTTGCTCAAGAGTAGGTAATAATAAACAGTCTTAGCAAATTAACGTGACCTCTAAAATGTAATTAAATTATAGCTGACATAGTTATATTTATTATTAATGTAACGTCTACAATTGCTCTATATAAAAATAACTCTAGAAAAAAATACTTTCTCGATTCAAACTACGTCTCGATGTTTACGAAAATATTAAAATTAAACAAAATATTTATCAAATATGCTGATTAATATGTTATGCAATAATATACCTAGCATTAATTATCGAAAAATTGGTTTAAATTTTAATACACATTATAAAATAGGTACCAAATAATTTACGAATTGAAATTTAAACTTAAAAAGATTAGTATTGAAAATAAAATAAAAATTATTTTTGCTATGGATACCTATAAATAATTAGGTTAGATTAGGTACCCACCTATCTATATATATGTTTATTTGTTTATTTTAATTCACACGGATTAAGTGTTTAATTTACGATATATTACGATAATATATACTGTTGTATTTATGTACTGGTATTGTATCTAGATTGTTTTTAACAAAAGTAGTATAGTAGCAATTATTTTTAACACGTATAATATTATAATATGTAAACTACACATTTTATTTCAGAAAAAAAAAACGATAATTTCATCACTACCTTCTAATATTTTATAATCTAGTCGAATATGTATTAAGTATTTAAATAAACCAGTTAAACAACTTCTATTGCGATATTATTTTGTGTTTTACTAATATTTCATAGCTAATAAAAAAAATAGCTGATACTGGAGATGGGAGCGGCCACTGTTGTAGGCGAGAAGTTGGGAAGGTAGGATGCATAAAGTTATTTCATTTATATCTGAAAGCAACGATAAACCATTGCTTGTTAAAAGACGATTCCGAGCGCAGTTCGGTAATACATAATTTGAAGTTTCGTAATTTTTTTTTTTGCGATTTTGGTTTAAATTTGATTTCAAAAGGCTTATAAAAAAAAAAGTCATCCGATGATTTTGGAAATTTTACCACGTCTAGGTAAGCCTAATATAAGTATTATTATTAAGTTTCTACGTTTATTTATAACCGAATTACAGCAAAAAAACTCCCCCAAAATTCCCCTGTCATACAAAACCAAATAGTGTTTGAATCACCACAATCTTATTTAAATTTAACAGTTTTATTTTTTTTAATAGAAACAAAATATATCATCTTATTATCTTTAAACTAATAACTGTAGGTAGATATAATTTTATTACGTTTTAAATTATGAATGTAGTAAAGAAAATATTCGTTTTACTAAGATATGTTTTTTTTCAAAAAAATCTTTTTTATGTAGTTCAGATCTGTTCATGTCATACTTAAAAAAATGCGATTTTTTTACCCGATGGTTCTTTAATTTGAAATTTCAAATTATTCTTTCATTATTTACTTAATGCTTATTATATTTTTTTTTATTTTCCACTTTTTGCCGAGCAAACTGAAAGCTGATCAGATTTTTCACGCAGTACATTAAAAAATGCAAAACTTTAAATGCATAATGTATTAAAACGAGAATTTGAATTCTTATATTCTCAGTTATAAAATTCATTAACGCGTATTATGTATTGGTATAGTACTATAATAGTCGTTATCATATACAAGGTACATAAGTTATAGTGACGTGTAGAACATTTATTCTGTTTGTGTATGAGGTCCAAAAATGTGTCTCTTAGTCGTCTTACAGACGGGATAAGTACAATTGTTCAAAAATGATAAGGATAAATGATAACTGTCTTAAAGCGTTATTTTTATACCTATATTTAAATTTCTAATATTTGAATACTAAATAAAACTATATTTTAATTGTACAATTTCTTTGTTTATAGGGAGGTTTCGATCAAAACTTATATTAATTAGCTCCATTAGCTCATTTCGGACTTTGAAACGAAAATAAATACCGATTTGTTATGGGAAACCACGTTGAGTAAGATTTTATTTCGTGTACTTAATGTGTTACTACTATACGATCGGGTAGCGTTACCAAAAACGGTTTTTATCATGTTCGAATAACTGTTTCACGGCGTTACAAATCAACTAGTAATACATTTTGTTATAGTAGGTATTACCTACTTCGAATTCATTGTTTTTATTTTGGTTAAGGCTTGGGATGGGAAAAACGACTTACCCGAATGATTCGAATCATTTGAATCGATTCGCTAAAATAATTAGGATATATCTTCTATGTTATCATAAATCTTGAATAGATCAATGAATTATTTAAATGATTCGAAACGGTCCGGATTTACGAAGTTGATTATAGGGAATTTTATGATGATTTACATAATCTGTGCGTAAGTCCCGTTTATGTGTGCTTATAGTTGGTCGTACAAATATCTATTATAAGTATTATCTAATAATCGGTACTAGGTTATGGACTCACAGTGACTCATGATTCAATGATTCAAATAAAGATAGAAACGAGTTCATAGAATGGATCGTTCTCGGTTATCGAATCTGAATCAATTCATTAGTTTAAATGATTCGTTCAATTTTGAAGTTTGAATGAATCGTTCACGAACGATCAATACCTAAAGTTGAGGCACAGGCTTTAGCACGCATTAAATGCAAAAGACAAAAAACAATATTATTATTGTAAAATTTTTTAGAAATTCTTATAAACAGATGTTGTGGAATTTTAAAAATGTATTCGTCCCAAATGTAATAATAATTTCTGGCGAATTATAACCGCATAAAATTGAATTGAATTCGTTTTTCATATGAGATCAACAGACTATATTTGGTAAATGAAAACAAATGCTTATAAACACCTCATGAGATGGATTTTGTATAGGTATGTTTTAACTAAAGCCGATTTGAATCATCTAATTAGTTTTAAACATCCATTCCAATGCTACGGTGTTATTACCTACTGTTATGTATACTTACTCCAATACTATTATATTTTTATGAGAAATCAAAAATGTTTTCGTTTTAATAACATTTTATTCTTGTAAACAAGATTTCGATTAGAAAACTAAATAATTGTATCTGTTATCAAACAAAATACAAAAAATTACTCGTGAAATTTCGCATTCGAATGTAGTCGATTCGTTGAAGGTCATTAGTTGAAATTCTTTGTGATTTTCTTAGAGCAATACGAGTAAAAACCAATACAAATTTTACATCAAATTACATTAAATATTTACTAGTATGAAATGTTACGAAATTATTTAGAATGTTTACGGTCAAACCGTTTCATAAATGCACGATTGCATATGAACTTAACCACAAAAATATCACTGTGCTATATACACTAGCTCTATTCGAGTTATTCGAATTTAAAAAAAATTAAAATTATATAATTATTAAAACAATAATAATAATAACTTTTTTCGTATAGGTATAGAATACTGATATTGAAAAAATAACGGTGACCGCAGCGCAACAATTATGTTTTCATAGTGAAATTCTGTTTTTATTATTTATTTATTGTTACTCGCGAAACTCCTAACAACTTGAAGGTCAATTTTTGTGTTTAATGTTTATCCTTGTCTTAGCCATAGACTAATCGATTTCGATACATACTGTGTGATAATATTGTTAGCGGAATAACAATAATTTCCATGCTCGGGCGGTTAACGGGTAGCGAGTCTCCTCGCTGAAACAGTATTTATTATGTGTATAATATTATACTCGTCGTAGGTTTCAGCCGATCATTAATAATTATTGTAAATCATCAAAGACTAGGTGCCCGATAATTTTCATAATGCGTATTGAACATATCTATATGCAGTGCCGTAGAAAATATATATGTTATAGGTACCCTGCAAAAAAAGTAAAAGACGGTTTCGCGTTGCGTATACGATTAAGCGATGGCGACACAATGACATAGAATTAATCATTTTTTTTTTTTTTTTAATATACACTGTTATGAATATTATATAAACGGGTAATTTATTGCAATTTTTTTTTTTACGAATCGTTCTTAACGTCGTTGCAGACTTGCAGTGCGTCATGTTCATAATATAACACGAATGTGTAACGATTATCAAAACTACGTATACGTATATTATGAGCATACATTATAGGTACCTACGTGATTTTTGTCTTACGGACGGTTTCCGTCGTGTGCGACGACGTGGGGAGAACGGCCTCGTAATTTGTAATAACAGTATTATTATACAGAGTCGACATAGAGGTTATTATCGATATTCGTTAATGAATTTATTAATGACACGCTAATTAATAATAGCACAAAAAAAAACCCGTGTGTAAAACACACTGTCGTAAATTATATACCTACGCGAAACTTAAGTGTAAACCGTCGAACCGTCCGAACCTATACGTGGACAGTTCCGACGGTATCTCCCTATTTAAAGGGTCTTGTATAATCAATTTTCTCGAAATTTTGGGAAAAATAAAATTTTATCAATTCAAAAATATACAAATCAACTTTGAAATACGTTTACGAGTAGTTCCGATATTTAAATTATGTATTGTGCAATCGTGTGAAATTATCAAAATATTTACGAAAAACCGTTCGCGTTGTCGAAAACTATACTCGGGCTATGAACCTTATTATGAAACCGGATTTTCATCATTTAATAAAACAAAACAAAAACTTGGACTGTATCACGATGGTTTTAGTTTTTAGATTACAAGATTACGAAATAAGTTATTCGAGTTTGAAAAACTCAAAATTCTCAGATTTTTTATTTATCAGAATTTGTTTGTAGTATCAAAAAAATAAGACCATCGTTGTACAATGGAAGTTCTCTGTATGGACAAGGTAGCGCGTGCCTACTGTCTAGGATTAGGTAATGACGGGAATTATTTTTTATCCCTATAGCCTAATATGTGTTATTGTATTCCAAAATAATGTGTACCTATTATAATTCATAAATAATAAATAGTTGTGTACCACAAATTCGTAAAATTTGAATCACTTTCACTTTTTTCAATTTATTAAAGTGATTAAGTCGTTAAAGTAACCACGGGTTAGGTGATATTTGAATGGTCACTGATAATGGCATCACGTGGGTGTTGATAACTCATTTCGCACACAAATACGTTCACAAAATATAGAATGTGACTTTTAACAACGCTTACAATATTACCCCATTTATACCGACAAAAAGTAAAGAATTGAATGAGGTTTTTAAAAATGTATTGTTTTACTATAATAATAATTTTAATAATTTGTTTGTTTGTATTATGTGAAGGAGAGGGTGAGGCTAAGTCTAGTTGTAAATTATTTTATAACAGAATTTAATGAACATATCCATGGAACGTTGCAAAATAACAAACTTGTTAGATTTTCGTAAAACCGAATAAATCTATTAACTATAGTAAAGTTCATTAGGTAATTTTGTAACGCGAGAAGGAGCAACTTGGGTATTCAACTCAGTATAATTTTTAGTCGCGTTTTAAGAGGACTTTATACCCGCATTTACTATCTCAGTCCAACTACCGGGTAATATACAAAACAATGTTTTCGCAGAATAAGTAAAACTAGGTTAATCTTGATTTTAGAGTAAAAAAGTACTTATTATGAAATACATAGAGAGCGATATTTTTTTGAGAGTATGTCATGGGTGATGGGTATTTTTGAATTATGAACTATTAAAAAAGAAAAAAAATAAAGGTTTTTGTACCTTTGATATCGAGCTATATATTTTGAATAATACAAAAACCCTATGAAATTCCTTCCAAAATGTTGTTTTCTATACATTTCATAATTGGTACTTTTACTCTAAAATCGAAATTAAGGTAGTTTTACTTATTCTGCTTAAGCATTGTTTTTGCATGTTTCCCGGTAGTTGGACTGAGACAGTAGATGCGGGTATAACGTCCTCTTAAGTTGTCGTTTTGATCTCTGATTGATCTCTGATTTTTGGGACTGGGGAAATAATAACAGCATATCAAATTATATACCCTTACCTGCTGTTGTTCGTATGACTACAGATCATCAGTAGTGTTCAATTTTCGATTTTCTTATTTTCCAGCCGATTTCTATGAATTTTAATGATAGTTTTAAATTTTAAAAATAAAAATATAAAAAAAGAACGGGCATACTTTTCACGCGGGTGTAGCCACTGTTGTAAGTGAAAAGTTGGGAAGGAAGGATACAGACGGGAATTTAATGTATATCTGTAAGCAACGATAAATCATTGCTAACGAAAAAACGATTCTAAGCAGAGTTCAAAACAATAAAAACTTAATAATAACAAAAAATAAATAAAAACTTTTGTCAATGATACCCTTATTTTTAATATTGCAATCATTTTTAACTTAAAGACCAGGTTTTCCTCATTATCTCGAATATTAATGAGAGTTTCAAAAAATGACTTCTCTAAAGTCTAAAGTACCATCCAGAGAACATTTACTTTCAGAAAAGGTGCTATTCTTGATAATCGGAGTAAGTTTTCTTGTAGAAAAAGTGTTCACACACTTATGTGAATACATAAAAAAAAAATAATAATAAATAAATAAATAAGTAAACATCATTGTAAAACCAATACATTCCTCGCTTCACCCAAAATCTAAAATCGTTATTAAAGTTAAACTTCAGTGAAATATGTACACCTATTATTAATATGTACAACTCTTTGTGAGTTGGAAAATGTGAAAAGCCTTTCCTTTCATTATCAGCTAACAAATTTGATAAGTTTGTCTCTGTCTACCTATAATATTAAACTGACTCCACTGACTTCCACGTTCTGTTTGAATATATAAGGGCCGCCCAAAGGGTAGAGTAAGGTTGCGTCAACATTTGGAATGATAATGTCTGAACGGTGCTTTAGTAATTTTTCGTTAATGTGTTTTAAAAATTAAATTTAAAAAAAAATACATTGGTAAGAATTGAATTGAATTGAATATTGTTTTTAATTTATTCGTACGCATTTAATTGACCGCAGGCATGCAGCCTGTATATTACATTTTAAAAAACTGAATTGCGAACAATTTTAACTGTCTGGATTTTCACCCGAACTAGTTCGGTTAACAAATGGTTAATATGTATTCTTTTTTTTCCCAGGCGAGCGTAACGTCAAAGACGAAGGGCGGATCCCGCGGCTTCACGTCCGCCGCCGTGACCTTCTTCGTCCTGGTGATGTGGGCCGCAACGATTGTACAGTTGGCTGCTCGGTCGTCGGCCGCCGCCGCGCAACAAGCGGTCAAGTTCCAGAGTGTCCGAGCGCCCCGTGTTTACAACGCCTTGATCACCACTGATCACCGTTTGTTACCGAGCCGCGTGGATCCGATTGTCACTCCTGTGTTCCAGCCGTTCCGGTACTATTACGACTGGCCCGGATTGTACGCGGCTTCCGCCTCCGGCACCCCAGCTGTCCGGTCCGCCAACGAGCGGTTCGAAGATGGCGATGCGGAGGACGCAACCGGCGCCGCAGCTTCCACCGGAACCGATGAACGTGCGACGCCGCCCGAGCAGGACGGCCGCGTTGGGCCCCGACTGCCATTCGTCAAGAACAACGGGCCAGCGGCCGACTCTCTGGTGCCGGACGTACCGCCACCGCCGCTCCCGGTGTCCACGGCCAGCAACAAGAATAAAAAGAAACCGGAAGAATATCCACCTCCCCCCGTCGGTTTCGCCATGTGAACTTCCTTCGCATATCAATTCCCTCTAGCCACTGCAGCCGATCCCACTGTTTATCGCAACAACATAATATCGTGTATTCGTGTATAATATGTAATATACAATCCGGAATTTCGTTACTATATAATATTATACAGTTATTGCGGTTACTATTTCCTCCCCATATTTTGCGCTTTGGTGGTTATAAAAAAGGAAATCCCTGTATAGAAGGTTACACATTTATCGGGCCACTAATATTATTTTTTTGGACATCAGCTCCAATATAAATAGGGTGACTGCAATAATTCTGAGTTGTCACATTCCTTCAGTCCCTCTTACAATACAGAATTATAACGCTGCTTCTCCTATTAAAATATGATTGGAGGGTTGGTCGCTATTTCTTTAACTCCGGTTATTAAACTTACTAATCGGGTTTGTAACCGCGTTAAAACGGTTTGTTGGGTAGTATATGTAGTAACGAATTTCCGGATCGATGCAATCGCGTAAAAGGTTTAGAAAAAAAAAAAAAAAAAAAAGGAAACTAAAACATCGCTTATACTCCGCTGGAGTGATTTCGTTACGCGTACCGCGTAAGCGAAATTATAAAAATGCCGATTGTCGATACGTACCCATATTCGGAGTTCTGTGACTAAAAACCAATAAAATATTAATTTTTAATTATAAGGAATTATTATAACTAAAATATGTATAGTTAATTAAATTATTTTAATGTACTGACGTTCGCGTTATTTTGTTTCCAAAAGGCATCGGCATATGGTTTTGTAGAACCGAAAATTTCAATCAAAAAAACTTTTCAAATTTTTTTTGAATACCCAGAGAAACGGAACGTAACATAGTTACCTAATATTGTATTTCTTTTCAAATGTTTTCGCAGTTTATGCGATAAAGGAATGTTGATTATTTTTTTTACTGAATTATTATAGATATAATTTTTTTTTTTTTAAACTTTTATGATGATATTTTGTGCGTGTAAATAATATAATACTTATGTAATTTGTACGCTCCGTTTACCCATTTACAGCGAAAATAGCATATTAATTTATTTATTTTTATACCTATTGAATTCGTTTGTATATTATATTTCGCATACCTATGTAACGCTGTGACGTGCGTAAGATTCACAAACATAATCAAAATATTGTTTATTTGGTTAATTTTACTGTAAACTCATGGTAATATGTGATGTGATTAATTAATGTTATTTATGTTATCGACCGATCGGTAACTGTAACCATTATTTTATTTTATTATTTTTTTTTATCAAAACGTCGTTTTGTTTAGATTTAAGTTAAATACAATCAAACTTGAGCCGATCAAAAAACGTGTATTTTCACTTTTATTAACACTTTGATTAATAATATGTATACATTAATATATTTACGTTTTATAGGTATATATCTATACGGTCTTATAAATTGTAATTGTACATAAGATGTATCCTTATACACATATAAAAGAACATGCTTTTTTTAGGTTCCAATTTTGTGACGACACTATTTAACTTTTTCCTGATTTTTTTTCCACAGAGTTGTTCCAAATACTCTCTCAAGTGTCACCGTGGCGCCCGATTTTTCCATTTTTTTTTGTCTGATGAGTGGGAAAGGGGGGGTATGTATATGAAATTCTATAGGTCGGATGCGAACAACACACAAACGTGAAATTTGAATTCTCCTATGTTATATAATGGGGCTAGCTAGGCTCCGTGTCGCTTCTCTTACAAAAAATGTAATTAAAGCTGAAATGTTGATCGAATGTGCTAAGGGAGAAATACCATTATACCCCAAGGATTTTTGAGTTCAGTTCAGAAGAGTTCAGTTTCCAATAAAAGTTTATTTTGCTACGACAATAAACAAAACGCAAGGTTAGACTTTAACTTCTTTAACTTATTATGGTGTAGATTTAGAAAATAACTGTTCCTCACACGGACAATTGTGTGCAGCATTTTCTAGAGTTTGGAGATGTGACCATTTATATGTTTATGTACCACAAAATAACACTCTGCATATGCTACACCAAGAAGTTTTGACTTAAGTAATTTAAGAATTGAGTAACTCAGTAAATATTTATAAATAAAGTTAAACTATACAAATTATAATTAAATTATAGAATCATTTTAATAATAATATGTGTATTGAATTATTGGAATTATTTGTAAATCTTATTATTATTTTAGATTCCAAATGGATCGAAGAAGCTCATGGTTTTATAAAGGTAGATTTTTTTTTTATCTGTGTGCAACTTTTATACCAGAAGAATTCCTCAAATTTCTACGTATAGCATTTTTTCTGAAAGGAAATCGGTTTAAGAAGGTATTTTAAGGAGGTCGTTTTTCGATGTTTTAATCCAGAGTTTTCTCATCGAATATGAAAAACCGAAAATAAGAACGGGAAAATAGGGAAAATATAAGAACGGTAAGTATTAGTTAAAATATATTACGGTCTTCTTTTTTTCTGTGCACAACTTTTCTTCCAAAAATTTTGCCTCTAACTTATAATGTTAGCTATGTATCTAAAACGAAATTTTACTAGGGAGGTACTTTAGAGAGGTTATTTCTTGATTTTCCCAAGAGTTTTCCCAGCAAACGTGAAAAATCTGGATAGAACACCGGGAAACTGAGGAAAATGCAGGAGAACTGGGAAAATCGTACGTTATTATAATATTGTGTGCGCGCAGGTATCTGGTATCTGATATCAGGTATCTGCTGCAGTGTGGCGCGAGAAGATAAAATCGCTGCGTTTGGGGTGACTGCACTCATCGTGCGAAGTACATCCGTTTTTTTAATATCGCTTTTACCGATGATTACAATTTTAATTTCATTACCAATAATAAAAAAAAAAAAAAATGCTATTATTTCATATACCTACTGGCTACTTTAGGTAATTATAAAAACAATACAACGCTTTACAATGTCAAATTAATAACTAACGTAACACAATTGTATTTTATTTTATATATATATATATATATAATACGGTTTTTATATTTGAAACAAAATAAATCAAATTAACGTATTTATACAATTTGTTATTTTTTTTCAAAATGGTTGAATTACTATTATCAGGAACATCTTCTGAAGATTTTTCGAAATATAGTTATTTTGAAAATCAGTATACGTTCCGGATTAACATACACAACCTTTCCAAACAAGTCCGAACTTTTAACATAAAACGTAGTGTACTTGAAAATGTTATGAGAAAAAAGGCACATTCATACTTGTCCGCCAACTTTAGGTAAGTTTAAATATATAATAATAGTTAAATAATCGTATTTGATAAATTGTGTTTCTTAACTGTAAAAACAATACAACGTTTTAGAATGTTAAATTAATTACTTAAGTAACGCAAAAGTATTTTATGCCATATTTAATAGCATAATCAATAAATGTATGTAGGTATCATAATATATTGATATAATAATAATAAATTATTTTTGAAAAAATGGTTGGACGAAATAGACAAGTAAAGTGGTTAAAAACACATGAACACGAACAGATAAATGATTCAAATAAATCTTCTGAAGATTTTACGAATTATAATAAAAATGACTATCCTGAATTCAAGCGTACATTCGGCAAAATAGCGGAACGATTGCGTTTTTATAAAATATCCGATAGTATTAATTTATATCCTTCAATGCAACAACCAAAAATATACTTGTCCGCCGAGATCACGTAAGTTCAAATATATAACAATAGTTAAATAATCGTATTTTGGAATTCATATTTCATATTATTTAATATACCTACTTTAAATATAAAAACAATACAACGTTTTACAATTTTAAATTAATTACTAAGGTAACACAATAGTATTTCATGTTTTAATTTACAATACATTTCTTATAATTCCGTGGGTGCGAGTGAAAAAAGGGTTAAGTCAACCTTTTGTGAAAAATGAGTTATATACATCGAAAAATTCAGAACCAATATCAGAAAAGAGAAAAAAAGATGATAGATTTATTACCATAAATTTCATCAGTTAATAAAGAATTTTATATAAATATAAAAAAAAAATTATCTATATTAAAAATACATATCCAGTTACTGCTTAAGATGATGACGAAATTAATGAACAATATCCAGTTCACGTAAATGATGAGCCAAACCAAAAATCTATAGACTCAAATAAATCTAAAAAACAGCTCAAAATGACGATAATAACAAGACTGATTAGTACAAAAAGTTCTTTTGAAATAAATAAATAAAATATGTTTAATATAACGTATTAAGTTTTTATTTTTATTTTTCAATTGCTATTTAGCATTGATAACTTGAAGTTTTCATTTGGTTTTTAAATTGTTATTTTAATATAAAACATGTTAGTTTTTTATTTTATTACAAATTTATATTTATTAAAATAATGTATTGAAACAATAAAAAATAATAAATAATCATTAAAATGACCTAATCCTTTTATTAACAACAAAATGAGTGAATTAACTTCAAAAATATTGAAGTCAATTTTTTTTTAAACATCATACTAAGTATTTTGTTATTTAATTTTATGACTTCAAATTTATATCAAAAAATACAAAACAATTTGTATTATTGTCATATTTAAAAAATATCTATCCTATCCTAATACACGATCTTACATGATGTTCTAAATCTTAATTTTCATTTCCTGAAAAGTTCATAGTTGTTTAACCACTTTTTCACGCGCACCGACGATTTAATAACATAATAAATGTTAATTAATAATGTTGCTACATTAATATTTTATATTATTTTTGAAAAAATGTTTGGGCGAAATAGGGAAGCGGACATTACAATAGACATGCCGCAAGATTGGATGAGAAAATTAAATTATGATAACTGTATACCTTACAGAGCACTTGATTTATATTTATCAATAATGGGCGAACAAGATGTACTGAACGCGCCGAGTTGGCTCAAGTAAGTCAATTTATATTATGTAATTTACATTGAAAGGTCACCAACTAGACAGCGAGACCTGTTGAGGCCAGACTGCCTGGATTTTTATTTTAGTTCTTTTTTTTTTACCTTGTTTTAGTTTTAGGAAAGATGATACATAGATAGTATAATGGTATTGTTATCAAGAAAAAACAAAATATATATATATAGAAGGTACCTATAGAGTATTTTGGGATAGTTAAGAAACGAATTTATTAATGTTGTTATATGTGAATATTTATTAAAGTTGGGCCAAAAAAAGTATCGAATGTATAAAGACTTAACTTGATCAAAAAGAGAAGCATAATAGGTATCACGTATATATAGGGTGTTCACATACAAACATACAATTTTGGGTTACAATGTACAGTAGTTCAATCGGTATCATATTATCGGCGATATTCATATATAAATAAAGTTATAATAATAATTTGGTTTACCTACTATTCTAATATTCTATTAAATCTAAGGAAAATTACTTACCACATTGTTTTAATAGGAAAGGAGAGAAATTAATAAAGATTTTATATATCTAATAAATTCGGAGTTGAGGTGATTTCTTGCGCGCGTTCATGTTTTTCTTTACACATGGGATTGATTTCATCATCGATTGACCTGATAATAGTGAACAAAATTGGTACACAAACTGTACGTCACGCCACGGGTTTGATAAAGTTTCTTCGGATTCACGTGGATAGCGTGATTTGGTAATTTCTTTAAATAGATACTTGACAGGATATGTGTTTGATACGCACATTGATTATCGCGAGGTGCCTGAAGTTCCATATAAGTCTGTTCCACGTTTATTTCTGAAAAATAGCTCGACGGTGAGATCTAACGAGTATTAAATTTAGGGACATATTGACGAACGTAGGTTAGTGTGATTTCAAAAAAGGCAAGATAAGTAGATTATGTCTATACAGTCATATTTTAAACAAAATAAACCAGAATATTTTTCTTGAGAGATAGATAGTGTGGTTTTATGAGCCATCTTTACGAAAGGAAACAGAAAGAAAAACGATCGTAGTTTTGGTCGTTCGAAAATTAAAAAAAAGAAAAATACCATGATTTTGATGAAACTAAGATTAATTTACAACTTATATTAATGTAGAATAAAATACTTAAAAATTATCTAACAGGGTTTTATTATCAAAAGGAATTATATCAGCCACGGTTAATAAATGTATTTATACGTTACGATAATGTTGGTCTCATGGGATGATGTAGCCTCGCGGCAGGCGCCTTCTATGTACAGTCGTCCATTATTATGTCTATTATTTGAAACAAAATTATTTTTTTTGAATTTCCACGCAATAATTATTGTTATAATATTGGCACACGAAAAACAGCTAATGAATATTTAGTGAATACCTAGTTAAAATTTAAGAATTTATTCAAGTAATCAGTCTTAAACCAAATAAGATAATTAAATATCAATATGGGCCTTGGATATAATATTATGTTTTAATAAATTTAATATACGAGTATTACATATTTACGACTCATTATGTACAGATACTTATATTTAGTAGATGCGAATGTAAAAATTTTATTTGAATTAATAATATTGAAATATTCAAGTCACATTTATTTCAAATAGGTAGCACTAATGATAACTACTAACAATAATGCACCTTAAAATATCTAATTATATCTCGTTAATATTATAAATCCTTTATTTGTATGCCTTCAGTGCGCATTGGCGTAATGCTTCGGTGTTTTATAAGACGCTACTTGATGTGGAAGGTGTTAATTACATAATGTTTCGTTTTTAAGTGTAAAGATCGTAGCAGCGCGTCATTGTCGTCGGAAAACGCGTCTAGTTTTAACCATTATTAATAAATACAAATTAATACAATTGTTTTTTATAAATTACTCTTTTCGGAGGGTTTTTGTAGAAGTCCCGGAGAACAAGACAATTCAGTGTGCAAATAAATTATTGTGTTATACTTGGAATAATCGTTTGTGTTCTACATATTTGCGGGTATAAGTATAAACACGTTTTCATAAGGCAAAATAGGGTTTGGTAGTACTTTCTGATTGATATATACTCAATAGATATACACTGGTGTATAATCAGTTATTTACTTGATAGATTCTATGTTTGACAACCTGTGGTATTTAAGTATAAGATATCGGGATCTAAGAGAAGGTATTTTTCGAAAGAACATTAAAGCATACAAATGTATTATTTTCCCTTCACTTTTCGTAATTTTATTTCTATATTTCTTTATACTAATGCCATTTAGTATAAAGATATACAACTAATCAATATAACGGAAAATATTAGAACTGCTAATTGTTAGCTGAATTTATTGTTTGAAAATGATAACACTTGATTTCTGTTATTTACATGTGATAGTGACTTTGATATCATTAGTTCTTCGTAAATATTACAATAAAAACAAATTGATTTATGTTATTAGTTTATATTTTAATATTGTAATAGTTGCAGATCTATTCTACAGTTCCATTATGTTGATTATTTATTAATTTAAGGGCAATGTTGCATATTTGCAACAATCTGAAAAATATCGGTTTTCCATGAAAATATAATAGTTAAAAGTTTTTAAATATTTTTCTGTTGTCTATGTCTAAAAAAAAATAAGGTATAACTTTTTTTAATTCAGACAATTGCTTATTGAAGAATCAAAAAAAACAAAGAACGAAACAAAATGTGAAATTACAGAAACCCGATCACCAATTCCCAATAGTAATAAAATTAAATCTTACGTTTCGGTTGAATCATGTAGACCTAATTTATGCGTTTCGGCTGAATCATGTAAGATTAATGCATGCATCTCTGCTGAATCGTGTGAATCTAAGACGCTCAAACCGAATGGATCTAGAAAACCGCATTCACGATATTCTCCAAGTGATTATGACTCATTTATTATCATTCAAATATAATTAAATAATACTCGTTTATAAGATATACTAACATAGCAAAGTATCAAAGTATATTATAAAAAGAAAAACGATGTTTTTTTTTCAAGGAGAGAGAGGTAGCGAAATATGCATGATATATCAGTTACACATTATATTTATGTTATTTTATATTT